TAGAAGTAAAACACTGAACTTTTAGAGAAAAGGTAAACCCTAAAACCTTTCCCAATTCATTGTTAACTTATTAAGTGCTTTAATAACCCTTTAATCATTATGTTAAACAACTAAATAAATATATGTACTAAAATTGTTTTTATACCAGTCTAAATATATATATAAATATAAATACTTTGTATGAACTAATTAATCTAATTAATAATTATATGAAATATTTCTAGTTTTAGAAACACGAATTACCACAAAGACCTAAAACTTTAGCTAACTAACAAACCAACAAACAATCATTGAATTTGTTGTTAATCATCATCATCATCCTCATCGAGTTGATGCCAAAAACAATAAAAAACATTTCAAGTATTTCCATTGAATTGTTTTGAGGCCAAACTAAAATTTGTAACAAAAATAAAAACAAAGTTTTCTCACCGATTACTTGCTAACGACGATGTCCATCCTCTATGGCATTAACCACATCTACAACCACAACAACAATGGCAATCCAAACAGCATTCATTTCCCCCTACATTTTTTGGTACAATTACACATTACATACACCCCTACCCTCACCCCCAACCCAATAAACCAAAACAACGACCCCTTTAATATTTGTTGTTAAGTAAATAATGATTTTTTTGTTATAACTTGTTCCTTAATTTATTTACTTTTAAAGTAATAGCAAATAACGAATAAAATATAAAGTATAAATCAATAATTTCGTAATAAACCAATTTGTGTAAATTTTATTTACATTCCGTCTAAAACATTTGGGTAAGTTTTATATCGAATGACTTTCATTATTATCGAATGACTATTATTATTATATATGTGCAACACAATAAATAATAACGAGTAAGATCCAGCAGATTATGAAAGTATAGCTAAACAAGTAAAAATTAAATTCGGTCAGGCCGAACTTTCAAACTTTGGGTAAAGAAAACATTTTTATATAAATATATCTGAATTCGCACGTGTTCCACTTAAAACTACAAATATAAGTAAGACCGTATATTCTGCCTCCGGAGCTTGTCTAGAAATTGGTATTTGAAGTTCAAAACGGGCTTTAAATATACATTTTTAGACAAATCCGTGATAAAAGGTGGCAAAAATCAGCAAAATACTGAATACTCAGAGGTACCATTATAAAGGGTGAGATAAACGGCAACAAAGTCAAACGCCATAGTTTTTACATTTTTTTCAAATTTTATTGAATGAAAGCAGAAAATGTCGGAAATAGCATAAAATTTTAAAATAAGCCTAGATTTGCTCGAATTGGTCACCATTGGCATGAATTATGGCCTTCAAACGGCCAATTAAACCGTCACACGCTGCCCGAATGTTGCTCTGCGGTATTTTGGCCCATTCCCGGCGATGCGCTTGCTTGAGGCGATCGACACTTTAGTATTTTTAGTGCAAACCTTGCTTTCTTCAATACCCCAGACACAATAGTCCAACGGATTGGTATCCGGAGATTTTGGTGGCCATTGTGCGCTGGAAATGAAGCGAGGGACCTCATTTTGTAACCATTCTTGAGTGGCGCGTGCTGAGTGCTTTTGGAATGTCCAAGGTCTGCGGCCAAAATGTTTGCGTGCCCAAGGCTTTAATACACCCTCCAGAATATTGTCGCGATAATATTCGGCATTTATTCTTATGCCACGAACGATAATACGAGCGAAAAGCGACCATCGGCTGTTATGGTGGGCCACACCATCACCATGACTGGCACTTGAGTTCTGGTGGCCAAACGAAGGTGCACATTTTCAGCTGACCTCTTTGGCAAGTAAACACGATCATTTTGTTTATTTACAAACTGCTGGACAACGAATGTTTTCTCATCGGAGAAAACCAAATTCGGCAGTTCACCACTTTCGTCCAAGCGAAGCAACTCTTAAGCTCTTTTGAGTCTATTTATACCCTACAACACTATGTGTTGGGGGTATTATAAGTTTGATTGGGCCAAAAATTATGTAACACCTCGAAATATTGGTTTCCCACATAGGAAAGTATATATGGATCTTCCTATCTCGCCGAGCTGAGTCGATCTAGCTATGTATGTCCGTCCGTCCGTCTGTCCGTCTGTCCATGTTAATTTGTAATCACTCTACAGGTTGCTATTATGGCCCGATCTTCACGAAATTTAGAATGAAGGTGGGGGTAGGGCCAGAATAGAACCCTATTTTTTTGGGAGATGATCGCATAATATTTAAGGGTTGGACCAAAAACTAAAAAAATTCATGATTTTGCAGCTGCTTTACAGGTCGCAATTATAGACCAATCGGAGCGGAAGTTAGCATGGGGCTAGAGCTTAGGGCTGGGCAGAAGCCTTCCAATTTTGATGGTCATCGGGTAATATTTGGTGGGTGAAATAGGCCATAACATTTGTGTAATATAAAAGTCAAATTTTCTATTAAACCGCGAATATTTTTAATCCCGGCGAAATCACAAATAGACGAGCAAGTCAACTCTGACCGTTATATAGATGCCGATAGTAAATATATCGGATGTATATAGCGAAATATATACAATGTATATATAGAAGGAAGGGGATGTTAGCTAGAATGCTTATATCTCAAGATGGGCTAGACCGATTACGCCAAATTTTGTCAATTCAGAATACCATCTTACCATAAAAGTATAAAATCTAAAGAAATCGCATAAAAAGATGCCTACAATGTTAATTTTAATATCGATTTTGTAGTATTTTGTGACATTTTTTTATTTTTTCATATTTTTTATCGCATGCAATTTTTTCAATGTGACTTATAATATTGAATTGTACATTTTGTAATTTTTTTTCATTTTACAACACGGGTTGGGTTTATTATATACAGATTGCAATTATCCTCACGAAAAAGGTAGGGTTAGGCTCAGAATGGCTAGGCCTTTGGTTTTTAAAGATGTCCGCAATATATTTAGGGGTTGAAATGGACCAACAACTAAAAATGTTCCTGATTTTGCAGTCGTTATAAAGTTAACAAATTGAATCCAAATGAAATCTCGCATGAAATTAGAGTTTAGGACAGCGGGTAGAGCGGACAACTACTTTTGTGTGTAAAAATACCAACATTACTTACAGGCGATATCCGAAATTCACAAAAGTCAAACTTCTGGCTTTTTATGCTGATTTCGTTGATGAATAAAGCCAAATATCGTAGACAAGCAAATCATATAGATGAGTTTAAATTTGGTGATGCATTTGGAGTTGATCGCAAAATATTTAGGGGTTCAAATGAACCAAAAACAGAAAAAATCTGTTCACACAATTGAAGAGAGTTAAGAACAGGGAAGAATTCTAGCATTTTGGATAACCATTGGTATACGTAGCTGTAAAATGGACCACAACAACTAACAGCACGATGGAGTGCGTAAATTTTGGGCAAATGTCCCGGGTCAAAACGCTAAGGGTAATATCTGGGCAGTGCTTTAGACATAATTTCAAAAGCGAAATATTCCAAAATGGATTCGGACATAGGGGGGCTTCTAACATATTGTAGTGTTGTAGGGTATCACATGGTCGGACCCGCACGACTATAGCCTTTGCTTACTTGTTTCTTTCTGTTGCGGTGTAAGTACTTACACTTTTTGGAATATCAATGGCTTTATCCCGAGCTCATATTTTCTGAATGGAATACTGCGATATATTCAGCTCACAAGCCATTTTTCGGCCACTGCGACACGGGTTTCGATCAAGTATCTTCTTTACTTTTCGAACCATTTCTGCTGTGTTGCTGTTTTCTTCCGTCCATTCCTTGAAGTTGGGCTACGCTATCAGTATCACGGTAATGAGCGATGGTACGAGACACAAAAGATTTATTCACATTTAAATGCTGGAGTGCTCTAACGATAGCCACTTGTGGTTTTCCAGCCAAATAAAAGAAATCACACTAACACGCTTAAATTCCATCACGAATAACTTTTTCTGGAAAATTCACACCAAAATGCTTTTGTACGCTTGTGAACAATATAATGAGCTGTCACTGGAATAATTTTAACAGGTGTCGGACGAGTAGCTTAGAAATGACAGCATTCTGAATTTGATTGCAGTTTTTTCATCTCACTCTGCATTTCCACATTTTTCAAAAAGTTAGACACATATCATATAAAGTATAGGAAGTAGAAGATCTATTCCAAATTATTTATGTCAGACTTAGGTCAGACACGAATTGGACAATATTAGCGAACTGCTGTAGAACCTCCCCCAGAACCTCCTCTACCCCCGGCGGCAGAACCAACCATGTGCAGTGTATTTTTGGATCAATATTTTCCGTATTTAAAATTTGACAAGGCAAATTACAGAAAATGCAGAGCTAGTCTTATTAGAATTGACTTCTATTCTTTGCTTTCACTTTCAATAACAAGAAAAAATATTGTCAAAAATACAGAAAACTTCAAACGGATAGAAAATTGACACGTGTCGATGCGGATTTGAACACACATCGTTGTAAAAAATGACAAACATTCGCTGTCAGATACTAAAAAACAACTAACCCTGGTGAAATTTTAAAATTACACATGGTTGCACATCTGCACACCATGGTAAAATTAAGAAGGTAAAGTAATTTCAAATAAAATTATCCATCTCTGCATTTTTTGTAATTTATCTTGTCAAATTTCTGTGAATAAAAACAGGTTCCCATCTCTGATTTCTGTGCATACGATGGATTTATAAATAAAAATTTTGACGATGAGATGCTGTCAAACGACTAATTTTGAAAAAAAAAAAAATTGTAAACATATGATTGCATGACTTTACCTTCCTAATTCCACCTTCGTTTAAAAGTTGACATAAAACTTCGCAAGGTGCAAAGTTGACAACAAATGTTCTTGATTTTGCAACATATCTCCGCGTTCTTATTGTAAGATTCAGATCATTAGGCGCGGATAAATAAACAAATTTTACAGAAATATTTTAAGACTCAAACTGTTGGAGAATAATACATATTTCTCTAAAGTATTTCAGTGTGCAAAAGTAAAAAAAAATGTACAATATATTTCAGTAAATACTAACACATCTCGATTTTATTTTTGTAAAAAAAAAGTGTAAACTTCCTACTCTATTATCTAAATAATTTAAAATTAAATATAATTTACAAAATTCCTATTAACATTTTACTTCTAGTCTTAAACAGCTCTCAGAGTCGGTTGAATTCCAACGTTCGAGTCGGGCAATCGGTCGACTTGGTTTCATAAAAATGATTAGGTCATCGTTTAACATCAGCGGTGACATTTTATTGGCCACAACAGCCTTGGTAGGCGGTCTATAAAGTTCAGCTATACTTGCATTGCTGAAGGAACGCCCGCGTTGATCTGGAGCCTCCCGTATGTCGACAACTTCGTTGAGGCTGTCATCAATCAGACGATAACTTGGCTGCTGATATGGATTGTAACCCAATTTGGTGCATATTTGACTAACCGCCTGCATATTTGGTGGACTCGATTTGGGAAAACATTTTGTATGCCAAACACCATAGCTCTGTTCAATCACCTGGCCATATGAGGGTCGATGTGCTGCTCCACTAGGGGCATAGATTGAGATAGAAATTAATTAAATAAAATAATTTGTTTGAATAACTTACCCCTGCTTGTGTGCAATTGTCGGTTGTTCTAGGCCATAACAATAACGTTCATCTTCGCCATTGGGACAATCCACTTCTTTGTCACAAACGAATTCACGTGGAATGCATTCCTCACCCAATCTGAAAATATAAAATAAAAAATATGGTTTGGCTATGTGAACCACAGGGTGAGATGAAAAAAACCGCAACCAACTTCAGACTGCTGTCATTTCTAAGCCACTCGTCCGACAGCTGTTAAAATTACTCCAGTGACAGCTAATTATATTGTTTACAAGCGAACAAAAGCATTTTGGTGAGAATTTTTCAGAAAAAAGTTATTAAGAATGGAATTCAAGCGTGATAGCGTGATTTCTTTATATTTGGCTGGAAAACCACAAGTGGCTATCGTTAGAGCACCCAAGCATTTAAATGTGAATAAATATTTTGTGTCTCGTACCATCGCTCGTTACCGTGATACTGATATCGTAGCCCGACGTCAAAGAAACGGACGGAAGTAAAGAAGCGACTTGATCGAAATCCGCGTCGCAATGGTCAAAAAATGGCTCGTGAGCTGAACATATCGCAATATTCTATTCGGAAAACATTGAAAAATGAGCTCGGGGTAAAGCCATTGAAATTCCTAAAACTGCACGAACTTATACCGCAACAGAAAGAAAATAGACTCAAAAGAGCTAAAGAGTTGCTTCGCTTAGCCGAAAGTGGTGAACTGCCGAATTTGGTTTTCTCCGATGAGAAAACATTCGTTACACAGCAGTTTGTAAACAAACAAAATGTGAAAAATGCGAAAATATTCTGGAGGATGTATTAAAGCCTTGGCAGGCAAACATCTTGGCCACAGACCTTGGACATTCCAACATGAATCAGAACCATCGCACTCATTCCTTGCTTCATTTACAGCGCACAATGACTACCAAAATCTCCGGATATCAATCCGTTGGACTATTGTGTCTGGAGTATTTTGGAATGCAAGGCTGGCACTAAAAAATACCAATGTGTCGATCGCCTCAAGCAAGGGCTTCGTCGGGAATGGGTTAAAATACCGCAGAACAACATTCGGGCAGCATGTGACGGTTTCATTGTCCGTTTGAACGCCATAATTCGTGCCAAAGGGGGCCAATTCGAACAAATCTAAACTTATTCTAAAATGTTTTGCTATTTTCAACATTTTTACTTTCATTAAATAAAGTTAATCAAATTAAAAATTATGGCGTTTGACTTTGTTGCAGTTTTATTATCTCACCCTGTATATTTATAGCAGAACTGTATTGGCCATGACTTAAGAAAGGTTCCAGAAATGTCACTCCCCTTCCTCAGAAATGTCAAATCAATATGTTAAGCTCTAGACTTTTTTTTACGAAGATCTGAAGGACCTAATAGCAATCAGTACAACGCCATTCCACAGTGATGAATACCTGATACGATTTTTCCTTTAAATACTTATGAACATTGATGTGCAAAACTGCCCAAAAAAGTACGTTAGTGGCGAAACATTAACCCTTTGAGGGGAAGGTACAAGAAGGAATGGTCTAATCTCCACCATCTTTACGACAGATCTTGTTTTAATGGAAATATTGAGATGTACCAAGTCTGAATAGAATCGGTTATTAATTTCACGTTTAATTTGCTTAATGGATTTGACCCTTTTGTGGGAGAGGTACTAGATGGAGTGGACTGATATTTTCCATTTTCGTACCTGGACTAGCACTGATCCAAGTATTAGGATCTGCAAAGTTGCATCTAAACCGATATTTCCTCCAGAGGGAGGAGACCGATATTTCCCATCTCTGAACTCGATCTAAATTTGATAATAATTTTACGATGTACCAAGTTTGGATCAAATCGGATACTCCCTTCGAGAGTTATCGTGCGCACCAGACAGGCGGACGGACATCACTAGATTGACTCCAAACGTCCTAAAACGGATTTGATCCAAAGAGACCTAGCGTCTAAAACCGTTATTTTCGATTTTGGCCGTATCAAATGATATATACCCTCTCTAGCCATATGGCCGAGGTGCGATAAAAAGTGCGAGAACATAAACATTGTTTAACTAAAATATACTTACGGTCCACATGGATAACGATCGGCTGTACAGTTGCATAAAACAGGACTTTCATCACTTTTATCCCAGCAATTTCGTATTCCATCGCATATTTTTGAAGGGTCAGTTGCTCTAGAAAATAATATACAACAATGAGAGAGAATATTTTCTTGATAAACTGAGCTTTGCACCTCGACTTACCTTAAATATGTAAAACAGGAACATATCGTGGGTTCATCGGTTAGATCTTCACAATCGGCAATATGATCACAAAACTTCGACTTTGGTACGCACTTGTCAGAGGTACGGCATTTCATTTCTGAAGGGCTACAAGCTAAATGTCGTATGTATAAGTGATTATTATTTTTTAGAATTAGCAAACTTCAGCATACCATTGCGTAAAAGACGACATTTTTCGGGAAGCTCATCACTGCCATCGTGACAATCCGATACACCGTCACAAATCTGGGTTGTATTTAAACATAGTCCCAAAGGACATCTTAATGTAGAGCAGAAAGGAGTCTCATATGGGAATTTACACTGTGAATTATCTAGGAATAGTTGACAAATATAGATCGGAAACTCCTACAATACCAGACTAAACTTACCCAATACATCCTGTATAGCCTGATAGGCCTCGTCGAGATTTCGTATCGCAAAATACTGCTTGAAACTACTACATTTTGTGTTGTTGTACGAGAAAAGAGCATTCGGATACCAACCTGTGTTGTTGTTGCGGCAAACCGTAATACCTTGATCGATTGGTTCCAAACCACTGGAACTTGCATGCTTACTACCGAATTGCGTACAATTGGTTGCAATGGAAATTACTTCATTGCCGCCGGTCTCTTGTGAACTTGTCTCTGCCGAATTGTCCTCTATCAAATTATCCGAATCCCGAAGTAATTTGACCGCTGATTTATTTTCATTGAAACGATAACAGCTCATGCCTTTAGTAATGCAAAGTTCAGAATTGTTCAGCTCATCTAAGGCAACAGTTTTCGTTCGTCCATTTTCGTTTTCGTGTAGAACAGCAATGCATTCGTGTTTGTCACCTAAAATGGAACTGAAGAAAACCATTAAACTCAATGTTATGTAAAGTGAAATAGGATCTCCCTAAGGTGGATAAATAATAATTAAATAGTCCAAAAGAACTTTTTTTAATGAGAGACAGGAGATGTTTAAATGACAAAATGGAAGATGTTAATCATTTCACTTTGGGAACTCCCGATTATTGTCTACCGGCCGTCAACATATGTGTTGTGTGTGTCCACATAAGAATGACTAATTAAACACCGTTTTAAACGCGGGCGGAGATCAGTGTTCTCAAGTTAGCCGTATCACATCGTCGTCGGAGTATACACAGTGCAAAAAAAGGTAAGGTAAAGCAACCAGCTAGTTACAATTTTTTTCTGAAATATGGAACAGTTTGGATCATAATACTATAAGGAGGTAGAACAACTTAATTAAACTATAGAAATACAAACCATGAAGCGACGTCCACTTCCTGTCTGTTTTTATACCCTCAGCCATATGGCTACAGAGGGTATATATCATTTGATACGGTCAAAACGTGCCTAGTCGAAATAACGGTTTTAGACCCTAGGTCTCTTTGGACCAAATCCGTTTCCGAACATTTGGAGTCGATCTACCGATGTCCGTCCGTCCGTCCGTCTGGCTGGTGCGCACGATAACGCTCGAAGGGAGTATCCGATTTGATCCAAACTTGGTGCATCGTAATATTTTTGTCAAACTTAGGTCGAGTTCGGAGATGGGCAATATCGGTCCACTCCCTCTGGTACCTCCCACACAAAATGTCAAATTTTTCAAAGAAAATAATTTGTTGCACAGAAAGAGAAAGGATAATCCGATTTTGCTCCAACTTTGCATATAGTAATATTTGCGTCCGTGCTAGGTTAGGTGTGAAAATGGACAATATCGGTCCACTCCAACAAGTACCTCCCCCACAAATGGTCAAAATTTTGAATAGTTACAGATCTTATAAAATTTGATGTAAGTGCCCGATTGTCTTAAAATTTCACACATCCAAATTTTTATATTAAACCAAGGTCTGGTGTTAAGATGAGCAAAATCGGTTCACTCCTTCTGGTACCTCCCCCAAAAAAGGTAGAAATTTTCAAAAAAAAAAAAAAAAAAAAAAAAAAAAATATTTTTTTTTTCTGGGCAGAAACAGAAACGGTATTCCGGGTTTGCTCCAACTTGGCAAATCCTAATATTTTCGTCAGTTATAGGTCTGGTACAAAAATTGATAATAATGGTCCACTCCATCAAGTACCTCCCCCACAAAGGGTAAACATTTTGAATAATTATAATGTGATGTTAGAATCCGACTGTCTTAAAATTTCACACATTCCAATATTTTCCTAAATCCAAGATCTGGTGTTACGATGGAATATATCGGTCCACTCCTTCTGGTATCTCCTCCACAAGGGGTCAAAGTTTTGAATAACCAAAACATTTATAAACCCCGAAATCAGGTTCCCTTTATATTTCACACATCCCATTATTTCCCCTAACAAAAGATCGGTTGTGAAGATGGGATATATCGGTCCACTCATTCTGGTACCTCCCCCACAAAGGCTCAAAATTTTGAAAATCGATGAAGCTCATAAAAAGCGAAATTGACATTCGATTCTATTCATGACTTGGTACATCCCAAAATTTCCATTAACAAAACACAGTCCAAACCTAGCACGTCGCAATATTTAAATCATATTTATTTAGGTGCGACACGAAATAGCCAATATTGGCCAATTCCTTCGGAACCAACTGCATAAAGGTTTAAACATTTGATCAATCAAACCAGAAGTCAAAAGATTTTAAAATAATCAAACATTGGCTGAGGGTATACATCTGTCGGTAAAACCGACCGAAACTTTTTAACTTGTTATTTTTCAAAACAATAAATGCATACATGTACGAAATTGGCAGAAGTCTTTGAAAAAAATATAATCTGCTGGTAGCACTAAATGTATACCATACCTTTTCATTGTGCTACGGTTTGGATCATTTTTTTAAAAGAAAAACCAGGCTTTACCTTAATCTTTGGCATTTTTAACTCATGAGGAAAAATATTAAAATGAAAACAAGTAAAAAGAAAGAAAACATTTTTATGCAAAAGTATATGGATTCAAACTTGTTCTACTTCAAACTAAAAACTCCAGTAAAATCGGTAGGAGACTGGTTTAAGCCGTTATATAGAGGCCATACTAAAACGGGAGCCTATAAAGATAATTTTATACTACATCGATTGTAATCAATTGCCAGCCTTAATTACCAAATTTTATTCATAATTATGACGGCTGTAGAGCCCATTATGAAGTACAAATACCAAATTTCACACAAATGTATTAGAAAATGTGGCTCAAATCGTCAAAAACGTGGACCTAGATATTCAATGTTCTGCCACCGGAGCTAGAACCGATTACGAGCTACAAATACCAATTTTTAGACAAATCCGTGGAAAAATGTGGGGGCTATACGAAAACGTGCATCTGTATGTACAATGTTCCCCCATTGGAGCTAGCTAGAACCCATTACAAACTACAAGTACCTTTTTTAAAAAAATCCGTAAAAAAACGCGGCAAAAATAATCAAAATACCGAATATCAAAATACTCTTATAGCGCGACTATACGAAAGTATAGTGGTCTAGTGTAGAACTAAGGGGTTAGAGGTGCTAAGTGTATATATTCCACCAGTTAAATGCTGTGAACCGCGTTATTTGCCTGATGTAAGTCCGCTTCTGGAAGGCATAACCGCCTGGTACTAGGCGATTTTAATGTCCAATACAACTTGTGACATTTCGTCCTAACTCATGGCCAAAGGAGGTCAGCGTTAGCAAAACTGATTGATTGCTTCAAATGAGGGCGCCCCATTCAAATAAAATAGTGTGTCATACTTCGCCAGACTTAACCATAGTCGATAAATAAAGAATCGTCTCAATATGCAGTTCGCCCGGTTTCATAGCCCCTAAAGGACGCACTTTCGCTTCAAAAACTGATGTTCGGATAGCTGAAAGTTTAATTTTTCTAAACGTCAAAAGACATCATCAAATCTGACCGCACTCTATATATTTGCTGATCAAATACCCGAAACAAGAAAAAATTTCTTAACCTAGGAAGCGGTACTATCATTACATTGCAATTGTTATGAGTAAGCTGTGGAAAAGGTTAAATCGCTCTCGAACCCTATGAAAATTGACAATAAGGGGTGACAAGATCTCAGTTTAACCCCTACTTTTTCGGGAACCCCTAGGTACTGAAAAGTACTACATTTCCAAATTTGAAACAATTCCGGTGAATAATGTCGCTAAAACTATAAAAATACCGAATATCGGAATGGCCCATTTACGAACTTAACCTGCCTACTGGCAAAATAAACATGTGTGCAAAATTTTAGCATTCTATCTCAATTTGTTCGAAGGATAGCGTCATTACAACAGACAGACAGACGGACATCGTTAAATCGAAGAATTTTACGCTGATCAATAATATATATACTTTGTTGGATCTGACATGAGTATTACGAGGAGTTACAAACGAAATGACAAAGTTAATATACCCTCCATAGTATTTTGGAGGAAAACATTTGAAGAATATCTTCCTGCAAGATGTGCCAATTTCGGCGAGATTCTGTAACAATTTTCTTGGACAAACGCTAGATGTGAAAATTTCTTTGTCTTTGAAAAAAATTCCGGGTTGAATTAACTTTCAACTATATATACTTCAATTTATAATTCTTAAAGAGAATAGACAAAATATGCCTTTGAAAAAAATTTAAAATTTCAGTTAGTCGAACCTCGTTTTTTTTCAGAACACCCTGCCTTCGTCTATTAAATACCATACATACCTATCTGGTATAAATGTAGGCAAAATAAAATGGGAAAATCTGACTGGTTTCTCCAAGTGCATCATTAAAATGTCACTATTCGGAATGACCTCCAGGCAATCGATGCGACGTATTTCCTCGTGATTGCTTTTGTGAGCTCTGCTCTTGGTCTTACCGCCACCAAACAAAGCGGAGACATAATCCAAATTCAATCTAAAAACATGAAACTTATTTAATATTCGTTACTTTTCACAATTGTCCATTTCAATGACATACCTTATGCCAAAGTTACAGGACTCATGCACCATTATCCAATGTTTATCCATTAAAACGCCCAGGCACCACAGTTTACCATTGGCATAGACATCAACCAGCCAGGGCCAGTGAAGTTCTTCAATAATCTCATGCAGCTGCTGATCAACCAGTATTGTCATATTTTTCTTTGGATCCATTAGGTTTGCAGATTCGCCCTTTGAAGGCTCCTTCTTCTTGTCCTCATTGGGCAGCTCAGGTTTTACAAAGACATTCGGTTTATTATGGGGTTCGATGGAAGGCTGCAACGTTTCGGTTTGTTTTTCTTCTTCAATGGGTTTCGGTTGACCCGCACTTAAGGTCTTAACTGGTTCCGTTCTATTCGACTTAGCAATACACTCAACATACAATCCCAAACAAGCTTCCTGCGATTGTTCAATACGAATTGTTCTCAAATTCCTATAGGAGGGGTAGACACTTTGCATCGCCGAAAAATATTCACTATCACTGACAGTATTCTGGATTTCACCACCCAGACGGGGTGCCAAGTGCAAGTCGGGGCTTATGGGGATAATGTGATCAAAAATTGTTGGTTTTGTGGTGTTGAAAAAACTGTAACCCTTGAAGCCGAGCAAAGAACACACCTCACCAGCTACTTTGGCATTGTGATCGCCATAGGGCGTCTCATGGGTGCAGACTATATGCCATACGCCATTGGCGTTACGTGAAAAAATGCCAGCACTGCTGAGGATCGGTTGTCGATTGCCATCCAAGTAGATTTCCTTTCCATTGGTTAAAGCAACTTAAACAACATAACTTAGGTGAGTACGGCCAAGTATTAAAACAAGTTTTTTTTTTAAATACTTACAGCAGTCCTTTTCGTCTTCCTTAAAGCGACAATCAACGACGTTGTCACAACGCTTTGCCAAGGGTATACACTTCCTTGTCAGGGGACATAAGAACTCCTCAGAATTGCAGTTACCTACAAAGATAAAATGACTCCTTTATCACGTGCCCCACAAGAATTGCTTGTGTGGATCTTACCGCAGTCATCCTCATCGGTCAAATCCTCGCAATCAGATTTTCCATCACAAATTAAAATGCTTAGTTTGCCCTGTATTAAAGAAGTAAAAATGCATGTATATTAGCTATCATCATGCGTACAGGGTTATTACGAAGTATTTCTCTTTCTTTCAAAAAAATTTCCTACGCTTTAAATTCTGAAGTAGCTTCACAAAGGAAACATATTCAAACTTGCTGTAATGATAAATAAGGAAACTGAAGATTTGTTCTTTCACCTTTGCATTTGACCATATTTTCATATACACTCTGTTTTTGTTGAACGGAAATATTGGACCTATATATGACATCTTTATACTTAAGAACTAAAGGAAAACAGCATATAAACTGTGAATAATCTCGCATTTTAAGAGCGTTTTGATTTTTACGCGTTTTGACCCTTGCAGAAGACATACCGAAGGAGTAGACCAATATCTTCATTTGCAAAATGTTGACAATTTGAGCGGGAGGTACGAGAAACAGTGGACCAATATAATATGATATAAATATTGCGACGTGCCTGGTTTGAAATATACGAGTATTGACTACTTCCTTCACTTTATATAAAATCTTACTCTACACCACAAGGTGGTCAGGGTATTATGTCTTTGTGTATTTGTTTGTAACAGGCAATAGGAAACGAGACAGACCCATAGTACCTTTTGATGATCTGCATAGAATCACATTCTGAGTCTATTTATGCATGTCCGTCCGTCCGTCTGTCCATTCAGATGAAATTTTGCACAAATCATTTGTTTGTCCCAAGGACGAAACCTATTGAAATTGGAGATAATCGGTAAAAATTTAGATATAGCTCCCATATATATCTTTGTCCGATTTTCCTTTTCTTGTGCACCAAACGAGTAATATCAGACCGAGTGGAATTTTGCACTTACAACCAGATTAGGCTATATCGGTCCACGATATCGTATAGCCCCCATATAACGGTACCCCCCGATATTCGGCATTTTGATGATTTTAGCCACATTTTTCAACGGAATTGTCTGAAATTCTACACAAGGAGTTCTTTATGAGTACTTTACCCCCTGACAGAGAATTCTCTATATAGGTCCACGGTATCGGAAATCCGTCATATAATGGCCCCCCAATGTTCGTTATTTTGATGATTTTAGCTACATTTTTAAACGGATTTGTCTGAAATTCTACACAAGGAATTCTTTGTGAGTACTTTACCCCTAGACATAGCTTTGTGGACCTATATAGAGTCCACAATACCGTATATACCCCATATATCGGCAACTTCCGATAATTTCGATTTTTTTAAATGTCCTAATTCGTTCCAAATAGTAATAATAATAATAACTATAATAACTTTCAGTGAGAGTTTGCAAATTATTGCTGGAAAAATTTCTGCCTGCAATCACTTGCAACTCTTCTTCTTCTCATTCTTCTCATTCATCGACATTCAGTCAGATGTTTTCTATCGTTCGTTTATTTCTTTTTGTGCTTTCAATTTGACATTTTTTTTTTTGGAATTAGCAAGACTAATTGTTTTTGGAGAACAACTTTACAAAATGTGATAAACGTAAATATTAAGATGTAATAAGAAAACAAGTAAACAAGCAGCTAAATTCGACCGGGCCGAACTTTAAATACCCTCCACAATTTCGAAGGAATTTGAAAATTTTCAAAAAAAAATCCGAAAACTATAACTTAAATGAAAACCGTTATATGGGGACTATACGAAGACGTAGACCTGCATACAAAATTTTTAGTTACAGGCTGTAGTACCCATTACGAACTTTAAATACGAAATTTGAAATAATTCCGGTAAATAATGTCGCTAAAATCATGAAAATACCGAATTTTGGGAGGTATCGTTATATGGGAGCTATACGAAGATCTGGACCAGCATACAACATTTTTTGCCATAGGTTGTAGTACGCATTAGGATCTTCCAGTACGAAATTTGAAATAATTCCGGTAAATAATGTCGCTAAAATCATGAAAATACTGAATATCGGGAGGTACCGTTATATGGGGGCTATACGAAAACGTGGATCGACATGGCCCATTTACGAATTAAACCTGCCTACATTTAAACTATGCATGTATGCAAAATTTTAGCCTTCTATCTCAATTCGTTCGAAAGATAGCGTGATTACAACAGACAGACGGACAGAAAGACATCGCTAGATCGTCTTAGAATTTTACGCTGATCCGGAATATATATACTTTGTAGGGTCTATTATGAATATTTCATTTCCAACATTTTTAGGCAAATGCCATTAGCAATGAATGTTGACTTAAATGGTTAGTAAAAAATAAACTAACAAAAAAACTATGACAAAATTATTTTGTAGATTATTTGACAGCACTAAAAGAAATTGGTTTAAACAGATATATCTTTTCTGTTCCTAAGTTATTAATTTTAAAGCTGTTTAAGTTTGCATTATTTTGTATGGTGTCCACTGCATGGCCTGTAGCAATCGCAGGCTCTTGGTCTTGTTTAAAAACGTATTTGGAACTAGTAAAAGGGCAGTAAGTTCGGTCGGGCCGAACTTTGAATACCCTCCACCATTTGGAACATATAAGGAAATTTTCAAAAAAATGAAATCCATTAAAAAATTCTGTTAAAATCTTAAAAGTAACGAATATTGTAAGGTGCCGATATATTGGGGTGATATACAATATTGTGGACCTATACAGACAAATCTACGTCTGAGGGTAAAGTACTCACAATGGACTTCTTGTGTGGAATTTCAGACAATTCCATTGAGACGGACGCACAGACGGGCGGAGAGGGCTGAATCGTCTTAGAATTTTACGCTGATCAAGAATATATATACTTTGTTGGGTCTAAAATTATTATTTCGATGAGTTACAAAAGGAATGACGAACTTAATATACCCTCCATACTATGTATGGTGGAGAGTATAAAAATATGTGTAAAAATGGAACTTACCTTTAGATAGTCACGACAGCTGCAGTCATCCTCATCTGTACCATCCTCACAATCCACAAAACGGTCACACCTGTTTGCCATTTCAATTATTTGTGGTATTCTGAAAAATATATAAACATATGCATAATTGCGTGCAAATACCAGAGCAAGTCCGGGATCAATGTCTAACTGGACCGAATATTCTATGCGACTTTAAAAACATTCTTCTAGACTATAAGATTAATTTTTTTATGAATTGTCTATTAAAGTGAGATTTATTGAATATTTCTATCAAAACACATGTACAGTTTGTGAATGTGTTATTTTAAACAAGTAAAAAAACAGTAAGTTCGGCCGGGCCGTACTTTGAATAACCCTCACCATTTGGAGCGAATTAAGATATTTGCAAAAAAAAAAAAATAAATAAATAAAAAACAAAAAATAAAATCCATTAAAAGTTCTAAAAAATCTTTAAAATATCTAATATCGTAAGGTGCCGATATATGAGGGATATACGATATTGCCAACCTATATAGACAAATCTATGTCTAGGGATAAAGTACTCACAAAGAACTCCTTGTTAGAATTTCAGATAATTCCGTAATACCGTGAACCTATATAGATAATTATCTTCCAAGGAAAAAAATACCCACAAGGAACTCCTTGTGTGGATTTTCAGATAATTTCATTGGAAAATGTGGCTAAAATCATCGAAATCCCGAATATGGGGGGACCGTTATATGGAGGATATACGATATTGTGGACCTATATAGACTATTCCCTTTCAGAGGCTGAAGTGCTTACAAAGAACCCCTTGTGTAGAATTTCAGACAATTCCGTTAAAAAATGTGGCTCAGATCATCAAAATCCCGAATATCAGGGGGTACCGATATGTGGGGCTATACGATATCGTGGACCTATATATACAATTCTCTTTCAGGGAGTAAAGTGCTCACAAAGAACTCCTCATGCGGATTTTCAGACCATTCTATTGGAAAATGTGGCTAAAATCATCAAAATACCGAATATTGGGGGGTACCGTTATATGGGGACTATACGATATTGTGGGCCGATATAGCCATCTTCGAACTTGACAAAAAAGGGATCTGTGCAAAATTTTAGCTTTCTATCTTAATTCGTTTTGACTGTAGCGTGATTACAACAGACGGACGGACGGACAGGGCTAAATCGTCGTTAGAATTTTACGCTTTGTTGGGTCTAAAATGATAATTCGATGAGTTACAAACGGAATAACGAACTTAATATACCCTCCATACTATGTATGGTGGAGGGTATAATAAAGATATTTTAAGAGAAAACAAAAAACAATATTTTATGATTATTTATAAAGCGTACTGATAGAAAATTATATGCAATTTATTTATTAAGATTTGAAATCTGAAGAGAAATTAGACTGGCGAGGGAGCTCTTATTCTTGAACAACACTAGTCTACATAACATTTGGATTTTCAGGTGAAGTTTGTATTACCTTCTACACATAAATTGCCATATTAGGTGTGTCTGGTTACTTTTCCTGCAGGAATTGTCCAGCAACTTCTTTCTGAGAGAGCGAGGTAGTTTTATTCTCTTTTGCTAGAAAACTTGGAAAAGTTTACAGACAGATTCTCTTGCAAGCAATCAGCTGGTTTGTCAAAACAAAACAATTTGTGCGTCATAAGCAGAAGTTAATCGAGCAGAAATTAAGAATGACCCGAAAAAAAACAAAACAATTGCGCTTGCGATTTCCAAAATAAAGATGTTTTTAAATTTCTCGTCCAAATATAAATCACAGGAAGGAAAAGAAGAAGAGTTGCAAGTGAATGCAAGAAGAAATTTGTCCAGCAAGAATTTGCAAACTCTCAGTGAATGAAATGTCGAAATTATTCTCTCAAATCGCTCTTTTTTGAAGATTTTTTGTGTACGAGTAAACAGACGACTTCTAGTAACAATTTGCAACAATAGTTACAACACACCTATTGTTGTCGTCGGTTTTTTTATCGCCTAGTATAAATCTACCTTTAATAAAATGTCCCTAGAGCTATTTTGACAGTTCGTCTATTACTTTGTTAAACTGGGAGAATTATTAGAAGCCAACAATTAACTTACTTTCGGCAAACGAATTTTCTTGTAACGTTTGAAGACTGAACCGGGGGGAGAGACACAGTCGCATTAGCTATTGCAATAGTTGAAGGTGCGTCTGTGCTCATCGAAGTCATTCTTGACTCGGCAACCGAAAATGTTATCTCAGTCAGTATTGTTGATCCCATGGATTCGGGGGCATCGGTTGTGGCATCATCCACAAAATCTGTTTTCAGGTCCAGTGTTGTTAGTTTATCTCCCGATTCTTCGTGCGTAGCATCACCAGTAACTGGAGTTGTTGGATGACCCGCCGTTACAGATTCTAGTTTTGTTGTCGATGCTTCACTAACATTCTCGTTATCGGGGGTAATTGTTGAGGCTGGTTGTTCGGAATCTGTGGTAGTTGTTATAATTTCATCGATTGTTATCGTGTCCGTTACTTCTCTAGGCGTCGTGGAATCATCTGTTTCATCGACATTTGTTGAAGTTGTAAGGGGCAATGGTTCAATACTTGTCGTTTCCGCCGCTTGTTGATCATCCTCGGTCTCGAACGCTCTTATTTCATTGACTGGTGTTGTCACCACCGGATGATAGTCACTTTCTGTTGTATTCTCCCGCATGGCACCCATGTCCGGTATAAAATTGTAAATACATCCAACTTCATCTTCACCTCCCAAGCAATCGACAATGCGATCACATCGTTTCCTTTGCGGTATACAACGTTTGCCACCCCACACGCATACATATCCGGGACATAATTTGTGAGGTTGTATTTTTGGCAAAAACTCTGTACGCATGGCCATAGCAATCCAATCCAAATAGAGGGCAACTCTTGTGTAGACCCCAAACTCCTTTGGGCGAGCACAACCATTGCCATGGCTAACGACGCCGGCCAAATACCATTCTTCAGGTGAGGTTACACTGCGACAGAACAACGGTCCGCCTGAGTCACCTTGACATGCATCACGTCCCCCTTCCTCATCGCCAGCGCAAATATCTTCTGCTTCCTGGTCTTCTTTATCGATGCATCCTTTTCGTATGGGAATTGTCACCTGACGTAGTGAATCACCTAAAGAAATTAGAAATTAATACAGACAAGTAAAGAGGGCGTTTAGTACGGCTATCCGAACTTTGAATTTCCCCTGCCACGAGAAAATGAATTACTTAAAACCAGACCATACCGTATTTGGCGACTATATATTTAAATTTAAAATTTTATTTTTTATACCCTCCACATTGGAAAGGAGGGTACATTAAATTTGTCATTCCGTTTGTATCACCTCTAAATATTCGTCATAGACTACATAAAGTATATATAGTCATGGTCAGCATAAACTTCCGTCTGCCTGTCGGCCTGCTGAAATCACGATACAGCCCACATTATTTGTCGTAGACCCACATTATTTGAAATTTGGCACAGAAGTTTGTATTGTGTCTAGTATTGAAAATAAGATATATTGGTCCAACTTTTGCGATAGCCCTCATATAACGGTAGCTCCCGATATTCGGTATTTTGGTGGTTTTAGCAACATTTTTTCACCAATTAGTCTAAATATTGGTATTTTTATTTCGTTATGAGTTCTAGCACCAGTGGCGGAACATTGTATATATATATATATATAGGCCACGTTTTCCTATAGCCCCATATAACAGTACCTCCCGATATTTGGTATTTTAATTATTTTTGCCATATGTTTCCATTGATTTGTGAAAAAATTGACATTTGTAGCTCATAATAGGTTCTAGCTCCGGTGGAGGAACGTTGTGCATATGATCCACGTTTTCGTATAGCCCCCGTATAACGGTACCTCCCGATATTCGATAAAATTGGCATTTGAAGTACGTAATCTGTTCTAGCTCCGGTGGCAGAACATTTAATGTCTAGGTCCACGTTTTCCTATAGCGCGCATATAACGGTACCTTCGCCACATTTTTTAAAAGATTTGTGTAAAAAAAAATTGTACTTAATAATGGGTTCTACAACCGGTGCCAGTATTGGTCCATATTGGTCAAGGGTTGCCAACGGTTCGGTATTAGATATATATACCGAAATTTGGATTTTTGAAAATCCTAGTCACATTTACCCACGAAATTGTGTGAAATTGGGTATTTTGAGACTCGCAAAAGATTACAATCATTGTAGTATAAAATCGTCTACATAGGCTACCGTTTTGGTATGTTTTCCTTTTAACGGATCCAGCCGCAATTTTGTTTTTTGAAAACTCGAACTCCATTCTCCTACCGAATTTACTGGAGTTTGTAGTTTAAAGTGGAACACGTTTGAATCCAGATATTTTTTGTAATGTTTTCTTCACCTATAGGTGGAGGGTATTAGAAGGTCGGTCCGGTCGAACTTAATGTCTTTTTACTTGTTAATAAATAAATTAGTGCATTACAACCACTCATAAAGGAAGGACGTGGTGTCGTTTATATAATTAATGATCCTGGTTTAAATTGACCCTTCGAGCCGGATTCGTGGAGGATAGTGGAGAAATAAAAAAAAAGCATGAATGTTGAAGAATTTGTCATAACGTCGAGTTAGGCTAAATTTGATCTTTAAGAGTGGAAAGTTACCGAGCTAAAACTATAGCTGGATTTGTTCCCATACAAAGGAAATTTATCTGCCAATAAAAATGATGCTGAGTCAGAAAGAGACATCCGCAAAAGAAGACTATGTTGACGGTGCGCACACTTATTGAAGAGGCTTCATATCTCATGCTACAATTCCTGTGAATAATGTCGCTAAAATCATGAAAATACCGAATATCGGGAGGTACCGTTAATTGGGGCTATACGTAGACGTGGACCTGCATACGAAATTTTTTGCCATAACTTGTGGTACCCATTAAGATCTTCCAATACGAAATTTGAAACGATTCTGGCTAATAATGTTGCTGAAATCACCAAAAGGCAGAATATCGGGAGGTGCCGTTATATTTGGGCTATACGAAAACGTGGACCGACATGGCCCATTTACGAAATTAACCTGCCTACTGTTAAACTATGCATGTATGCAAAATTTTAACCTTCTATCAGAATTCGTTCGAAAGATAGCGTGATTACAACAGACAGACCGACGGACATCGTCTAGAATTTTAGATCTAGATCGTCTTAGAATTTCACGCTGATCCAGAATATATATACTTTGTAGGGTCTATTATGAATATTTAGAGGAGTTACAAACGGAATGACAAAGCTAATATACCCTCCGTAGAATGGTGGAGGGTATAAAAAGGCTGTAGAGAATTTGAGCGTGGCTTTAGAAAATGCTGTATCTAATAAATACGCCATTTTATTAGAGGAGGCAAGGCATGAAATTACGGAGTTAAAGTGTGAGTACATAAGCAGCTTGAAGTCTTCACATGGCATATTTTGTGACATATCATAAAGGGATGCCAGAGAAGCGCTCGATTTGCCGCCGTTTTTCTTTATAATTTGACATTAATATGCCAAGCTGATTATGTATTCTCACCTTTACGAGCAACGAATATGACTCGAGCTTCATATTCGTAGTAATAATAATAATAATAATAATAATAATAAAGATGCGTATATTATTCCGCGTGCATGTGATCATCTAGGTCGATTCCATTAAAGATATGCGAAAATGGGTAAATCATCTTATAACTATACGCCGAACAACAATATATTTTCTTTACACGTCTTAAATAATTATTTTCATGAGTTACGAACGGTGTGACAAACTTATAATACGTTAACCGTTTATCGGATTTATGTAACCGAGTTCATTTAAATTAAAAAAAAAATCATTTAAATTAAAACCGTGAAAACCCTCTAATGAAAATATACCATTAGCATGCCTAGGTATGGCGGAGGGTAAAAAATATAAATACCACATTTATATACTTACTTCCTGGGCCCTTTTCTCTGACAGCCCCCCAGCCAACCGCTGTACAAAGGGTATTTTCTCTTGGACCCCATATCCAATCGTCACCGCCCGTTGTGCGCTGAATATCAGGTAAGCAGATTGGTTTCACCCAACGATTGAATTGCAGCGGCTTGGCCATGCGCAACAGAGACAAGTCATTTCTCATGCTTCGACGTTCGTAGGCCTGGTGCACAATGATGTGGGACACTGGTTGGATTTGTGTGGCCATCGAGAAACTGGTTCGTCTCAATAGCCCAGCACGTACTTCGTAATAGTACTTGTGGTAATTTATAACACAATGGGCGGCACTTATGATCTGTATTCCATAAAACAGTCTTGATTAGAAAAAGAGTATTCGATTACAGGCTCAACAAATACCTACCCAATGTTCCGAATGAATGGTACCGCCACAATGAAAGTTTCCATTTCTGTATAGGGCCACAACAAACGGCCATTCCATCGGTTTGCTGTGTACACCACCCACAATGCGTTCATTATCATTTTCTATTTCGCGCTTTGTTTGATTACCGGCCAATGATTGCAGCCTGCCCAGCCGTTTGGAATATTTCGATGTAACACCCGAAGGGTTCTGCCACAGGACACCACATTGTGGCGGCATACACTTAACATGGGCTATATGATCCACAAGTTCATCGTGACCATTTCGTTTATGACATGACTGCGGGAAATGGGCACTTCCAATACGAGCCGGTTCAATAAATGGACCCGCGAGGGATAACGGTCTGAAAGACAACTTTGGCATACCACTGAGGCCACCTTCATTTTTGCAAGCTTCCAAAGCCCAACTTTCTCCGTTATTGCAAACGGGATACCATTCGCCGCGATGATTGCGATACAAATAGCCCTCAGATGATGATGCCGAATGTGACTGCAAAAGAAAAGTTTTGAAAATAAATAGGAATAGAAGTCAAAAATAAGAGGAGCCGATAACTATCTACACTCTATATGAAAAAATATAACTTATATTCGGATTTATAAGTTTAAGTTTAACGAAATTTACACCTGTCAGTAGTGAGTCTACAAACAGAGGAATGGTCTTTGCCGGAATTGTCGAGTCCATTTTTAATTTGTACATGCAGGTTGAGATAGAAAAACTGCAACAAAGTCAAACGCGATAATTTTTACTTTTTTTTAAATTTATAATGAATGAAAGCAAAAACTGTCGGAAATAGCATCAAATATTAGAGTAAGTTTGGATTTGTTCGAATTGGTCACCTTTGGCACGAATTATGGCCTTCAAACGGCCAATGAAACCGTCTAATACACCCTCCAGAATATTTTCGCAATAATATTCGGCATTTATTCTGATGCCACGGTCAATTAATACGAGCGAAAAGCGACCATCGGTTGTTATGGCGGCCCACACCATCACCATGGCCGGCGCTTGAGTTCTGGTGGCCAACCGAAGGTGCACATTTTCAGCTGTCCTCTTTGGCAAGTAAACACGATCAGTTTGTTTGTTTACAAACTGCTGGACAACGAATGTTTTCTCATCGGAAAAAACAAAATTCGGCAGTTCACCACTTTAGGCCAAGCGAAGCAACTCTTTATCTCATTTGAGTCTATGTTTTTCTGTTGCGGTGTAAGTTCTTGCACATTTTGGAATTTCAATCGCTTTACCCCGAGCTCATTTTTCAATATTTGCCGAATGGAATATTGCGATATGTTCAGCTCACGAGCCATTTTTCGGCAACTGCGACGTGGGTTCCGCTCAAGTCGCTTCTTTACTTTTACGAGACACAAAAGATTTATTCAGATTTAAATGCAGGAGTACTCTAATGATAGCCACTTGTGGTTTTCCAGCCAAATATAAAGAAGCCACACTATCACGCATAAATTTCATCACGAATAACTTTTTTTGTGGAAAGTTCTCACCAAAATGCTTTTGAACGCTTGAACGCTTGCAAAAGGAGCTATGTGGATCTAACTCGCTTCATTTTCTATGTTACAACACACAAAAACATACTACCATGAGGGGCACAGTTATATGTGGGCTATACGATATTGCGGACCTATATTCTATCTAGAAAATTCTCTTCTAGGGGGTAAAGTACTCAGAAGGAACCCATTGTGTGGATTTTAAGCCAATTCCATAAAAAATGCTAAAATCATTAAAATACCGAATATCGAGGGTACCCTTACATGTGCGCTATACGATATCGCGGACCCATATAGACAATTCTCTTTCAGTGGATAAAGTACTCACAAAGAACTCCTTTTATAGAATTTCAGACAATTCCATTGAAAAATTTGGCTAAAATCATTAAAATACCGAATATTGGGGGATACCGTTATAAGGGAGCTATACGATATCGCGGAGCTATATTGACCATTCTCTTTCACAAAGAACTTATTGTGCAGAATTTCAGACAACTTCATTAACAAATGTGGCACAAATTATCAAAATACCGAATATCGGGGGGTACCGTTATATTAAGGGGGTATACGATATCATGGATCGATATAGCCCATCTTCGAACTTGACCTGCCTGCAGACAAACGACAGACCTGTGCAAAATTTTAGCTTCCTATCTTAATTCGTTTTGACTGTAGCGATTTTAAAACAGGCGGACGGACAGACGGGGCTAAATCGTCTTAGAATTTTACGCTGATTAAGAATATATATACTTTGTTCGGTCTAAAATTATTATTTCGATGAGTTACAAACGGAATGACGAACTTAATATACAATCCAATCTATGTATGGTGGAGGGTATACAAATACAGATCGCATATTAGCTGTACACTACTCTCGTTTGAAAGTGTATTGATCCATTTGTCTAAAGACCACCGGTACTTCCACACAAATTTCGAAAATTCTAATTTGAGGTCCAAATAAAATATGATAACAAAGATGAAACATAGAACAAAACAAGAAGAAATTAAATTAACATTTTCTCCATATAACGCCCAATATGGGCGAATATCTAAAAGTTCGATAAAACATCTTAACCTCACTTCCACTTACCATATGATGTGTCACATCATTGACAATAATACTGCAATCCATTTCATCACGACCGTTTAAGCAATTCCGGAAGCCATCGCATTTCTCCAACAGACTATAACACATCGACACCATGGAACGATTATTCATTTCGAATTCATGTGGGTTGTCGTAACAGGAATACATAAACTCGTCGCATCCGAAACAGCCTCTCTCGTCTTCACCCATCGGACAGTCGGGATAGCCATCGCAAATGCGATCATCGGGCATTCTCTGGCGACAAGTGCAGGCAGCCTCATCACTGCCATCGCTACACTGAACCATGCCATTGCACCACTCGCTTTCCATGATGCACTCATTGCCTCCATAGCATGCAATCTGTCCCGATATCACACATTTGAAGTGGTCTTCGTGGCCCAAATGATCGGGCAGATCAGCATAGGACGCGTATATAATGTCCGAGGACAAGCTACTGTTTGCCTGATGAGTGCGCATTTTGAAGTTGGCATTTGAGAAGCCCATGGCACTGACGGTATTCGCTGGTCCACTGACGCCACCAACAACGCCGCCCTGACCCCCAACATTACCATGATTGTTGACATAAGTGCAAAATAGTTGTTTTTGTTGGTGACTTTGTTGTTGTTGCTGCTGCTGTTTTTGGGGTGAGGCGTTTTTCGAGAATATATTTGGAATATTACTTTGTGCTCTGAAAATAAAAGTACGAGCATTAATTTCCCTCGACAATTTCACTCTTCCACCTGAAATTCTTACCCTCCCGCTGTACCCGCCGAATGACCAAAGAAATTACCAGTTGTTCCAAAATTTTGTGGCACAAAGAATATACCACCAGGTCCTCCAGCCCCTCCACCCACACTCCCGCCAGGATTTGATCCAGCAAAACCGCCAGCCATGCCAAAAAATGATGGTGTCCACAGAGGCACCTGGTTTACCATTCGCACATTGGCCGGCGATACATAGAAGCATATGGGTATGGAGGGCATTCCGAAATTAGGATTAAACATAAATTGGGCGGATGCCTTCATAGTCTCACCGGTAACGGGAAAACCACCAACCGGTCCACGGCTAGTAAATTGTACCGATGATGGCGTATATGTTTCCGGTTCAGCTTCCGGTTTTGGTTGCTGTGGCTGTTGTTGTTGCTGCTGTTGCTGTTGTTGTCCACTAGCTGAGGCTCCTTTGTCACGCATTCTCTTTGCCATGCGCTCGCATAGACTCATAAATTGGTTATCAGCTAAAATTAAGAAAAACAAGTAAAAAACATTTATTTCGGACGAACCGAACTTTTAATACCCTCCAGCTTTGGGTAAAGAAAACATTTTTATATAAAAGCATCTGAATTCACACGTGTTCCACTTTAAACTACAAATAACAGTAAGAACCATAAAGTGGATGAGGCCGTTATGTGGGTGCCATACCAAAACGGTACTTCAATCATTGTCATCTACCAAATCTTCGTAAATACCAAATTTCGTGGGTAAATGTGACTAAGATTATCAAAATTCCGAGTATCGGTGGGTATCGTTACCCATTTGAACCACAAATACCAATTTTTAGGCAAAACCGTGGAAAAGTGTGGCAAAAATCATAAAAAGACCAAATATCTGGAGGATTATGTGGGTGCTATACGAAAACGTGGACCTATACATACTATGTTCCGCCACAGCAGCTAGAACCCATTACGAACTACAAATACCAGTTTTTGGATAAATCCGTGGAAATATGTTGCAAAAATCATCAAAACACCGACTATCGGGAGGTACCGTTATATGGGGGCTATACCAAAACAAGAACCCATGTTATCATGTTTCGCCACCTGAGCTTGAACCCATTTCGAACTACAAATACCAATTTTTAGACAAATCAGTGGAAAATATGGCAAAAAAACGTCAAAATACCGAATATCGGGAGTTACAGTTATATGGGAGCTATACAAAGACGTGGACCTATACATACAATGTTTCGCCACCGATGCTAGAACCCATTATAACCTACAAATACTAATCTTTGGACAAATCCTCAAAAAATAGGAGAGAATCATCAAAATACCGAATATCTCGAAGTACTGTTATAGGGGGGCTATACCAAAACGTAGACCGATATATCTCATTTTCAATACCACCTATCCTAGACACAATACAAATTGTTGTGCGAAATGTCAAATAACGTGGGCTGTATCGTGATTTCAATAGACAGACAGACGAACATCGACTTAGAATTTTATGTTGATTATGGATATATATACTTTATGCGATCTACGACGAATATACCCCCTTTTCAAGGTGCAGGTGGATATTTTCTCTTAACCCGTCTAAAGCGAATTCCTACATACAATCCAAAAGCGGTTAACACCTACCTGCAAAATTATTCGGATTAACTGGATTTATTTTCGGACCAAATTTCGAGACACTCTTGTAATCCATCTCTCCGAATGTATCCAAAATATCGTCATGATTTCCCATAACGGCCGCCTGCTGAAATCTCTTTTCCCACTCCAAGTGTTCCAAGGCATCCATGTTGGTGGCATTGTACGATTCGGTTGTTAGCACAGCGAGTGTCCTATCCGTAGTGACCTGAACTGATTTTGTCGATGTCAGCGAATGTCGTTCTAATGTCTCCAACATGTTCTCCAAACTACTGGGATTATCCAATGGATGTTCTTCCTCTTCGCCGAAGGAACGCTGGGCATTTTCTTCAGAATTTAGAATGCAGAGATTTTCCTCATTCGACGATTTTTCCATGGTGGAATTACAGACTCGAGCCGAGGTTTGGTTACTCGATTTGTCTTCGATCTGTTTTGGTGGGGACATTGTGGATGATTTATTCTCACCACTATTGGCATCACTGTCAATAATCCAACTAAATTTAATCGGCTTAGGCTTGGTCGGGTACTGCAGAGTTGTTGTATTTGTTGGTATATCGGTGGTCGTCATTTCGCCATTGGTCGTACTCTCATGAGTTGTCTCATCGGGAATTTCTTCTCCATCAATAATCCATTCAAATTGCAGTTTACGTTCTTTGTCGTCCGGACTAGTTGGCTCTGGTGTGGATGTAAAATTGGTCGACAATGTTGTGGTATTCTCTGAGGCCGGAGTATTCGTTATTGTGATCGATGGTGCCTCTGTTGAAATGGAAGTTACACTGAAACTGGTTTCCTCGGTGGTACTTGGTGTTGAGATAAGCACCTCCGTGGTCAATGGCACCATTGCCGTGGTAGTGGCCTCCGTAACCCGGACATCCTCAAAATGATCATCGGTTATAATAAAATTCTCCGAACTGTCTTGAAAATCTAGGATCCAACTGATTTGTTGAGATTTTTCTGCTCTTGGCGTTGTACTGGGAGCATCTGTTTCTGGATCTATACCTTGTGGAGTTGTTGCAGTGGTTTGCAGATCCGTTTGGGTGGCATTCAATAGTCCATCGGCAGCAAGCGTAATTTTGCCCGAAACACCAGTGACCATATTCCAAGTTTCAGTATCTGTGGAATTGTCGGTAGAGACAGTTGTGGTAACTTCTTCACCTGTGACAGTCGACAAATTTGACATTGTAGTAGTCGCGTGAGTCGGAGGAGCTGTTACCAACTCTGGCAAGAGAGCAAATTCCCCCTCATCCTGTGACACATCATCGAACCCATCCAAAATCCAGCTAATCTGTACTGGTTCAATTTTCGTCATTTTGTTAGTGGTGTTCTCCTCGGTTGGTGAGACAGTGGTGGAGCCGGTCGTTGTCGTCTCTGTGACAACACTGGTTTCCGTTGTTGATGGTCGAACAATCATTGTTGATGTATGCCTGCCCTCTGTGGTCTCCCAACCCTCGCTCTCCTTGGATCCATTACTATCCGACGATAATTGCATCAATTGTTCGCTGTCCTTAAAGATGGCTTTCATTTTCTCCATTTTCTCATTGATCTCCTTGGCTAAGTTGTACATCTTCATGAAGGCCACCATGCAATCGTTGCTGGCCTGAGATTCTTTTTTGCAGCGTCTGTATTCCGTTTCCAGTTTGTTGATGGCAAGTTTGGTGCGTTTATTACGTACCTTGGCATAGAGGCTTTTCAGATCCAATGATTCCTGTTGTACTCTGATCGGATCCAGACTATAAAGTTCAGGTGGAACTTTGATGTTTTCGATGCTATCAACATTAACATTTTCCACATAATCATTGGTCAAATCTATATCCATGTCATTGAGTTCACCTGGAAATTTCATGGGACTATTTACGTCGATGTCGCGACCATCATCGCGTTTATGCCTCCGAAAATGTAAACGCTTATGCTGTATATGCAGTTTGGAATATTTAGCCGAACCTATTAATTGCACATTTTTGTAATTCCGGTATGCTACTTCTCTCCCCCTTATGTCCTTCAACTGTGGTTCAGATGTTAATTTTAAGACGGTACTAGAGGGGTTTATACTTTGTTCATGTCTTACATTCAATGCCATTATTTCCTTAAGTTTGTCTAAGGGTCAGGAAGCGAAATTCGAATTAAATGTTAATCAAATGTCAATTGTACATACCCATCCTTTCCAAGACAATGCCATGGTAGACAATCGATGTCAACAAAATCAAAAGAACAATAACCGACAATGCAAATATTTTTGTCATTATCAGGCGATTCCATTTTCGGTGCGGTCGGGGTTTTGAAGTTTCTGCATCTAAATTTGAAATGAAATGATTTATTATATATTGCTACGAATTTAATTTTTTTAATTTTGTTTTAGTTAGTTTTCCGTTCATTTCAATTGTAAATTCATTTAGCAGTCATTTATTTTTAAATCGAATAACGTGGACAACAATTTCTGTGAAGAATTCTCTACATTCCGTCTGGTATTGTTTGTCAATATTTTTCATGTTGGTGAAAGAGAGAAAACAATAAATAATGTCACATATATATAGTTCTATCTCTTTCACACACTCACTCACTCGTATTTATGATATTACTGTTCCCTTTGCTGTTTACATGCATTGTTTGGGTATGTGTTTTGTCGAATAGGCGTGGCTGCCATTTCATGTTGTAGAACATCCTGAACGGAGATGCCATATATGAATGTTATGAATACGGAAGTCAGTTATTTCAGTTCAGTAGGGGATAAGTTAAACCAGAATTACGTAACAATATTACCAAAATTGACCATATTAAGGCAAAACTCGAAATTAAACAACTGTAGGCGGATGCAACCTGAAGTGAAGTAGATTTACAGGGTTGTTCAAGAAGATGTGTAATTTTTCTAAGTGTGATCGACTTCTGCCAATTTTGTGTATGTATGTTTTGTTTTGAAAAATGAAAACAAGATATTTTTAAAATTTTTTGATCGGAAGACACGTATAATTTGGCTCGCGCATTAAATCTTATAACCAGTTTAGCCATGAAATTGAGAGATTGAAAAAAGGGAAAATCATTTTAAAAACCAGTAAAGAAAGTCCTAAAGTCGGGCGGGGCCGACTTTATGATACCCTACACCACTTTGCTAATTTACCAGAGCTCCACATAACAATTAAAAGTTTTTATGGGAGAATTCAATCACACACGCTATGATTATAATTATAATTTAAAGTTCAAAGGACTGAATATGCCGAAGCATTTGTATCTTTTAAATTCGGACTTGTATTGCCCATTTGGTGCAAAATTAATTTGATATCAGATGAAGATATATATGGGAGCTATATCCAAATCGGAACCGATCTCGAAAAAATTTGGCAAAGATATTTCTGAGCTGTATTTGATATATTTCCCTGAATATCGTTGTTACGGAGTGCATATTATGGCTGTGGGTAACAAATATAACAAATCGGATGAACAATGTATATGGGGGCTATAGCTATATCTGAACTGATCTTCACCAAATTTGGCATACTATCTTCTAGACTCAGTTCGGTCGTATGTGCCAAACTCCATCCCATTTGGGCAAATATATGACGTTTGGTGCACAATAAAAGGTAAATCGGACGACGTTATATATGGGGAATATATCCAAATCTGAACCGATCTCGATAAAATTTAGCAAAGGTATTTCTGAGCTGCATTTGATATATTTCCCCAAATATTGTTGTTGCAGAGTGCATATTACGGCTGAATCGGATGAACAATATATATGGAAGCTATAGCTATATCTGACCCGATTTCGATCAAATGTGGCATACTTATTTTCAGGCATAATTTGGTTGTATGTGCAAAATTCCATACTATTCGGGCTGATATTACACGTTTGGTGCACAATAAACGGCAAATCAGACGAAGATATATATGGGAGCTATATCTAAATTTTTACCGATTATATCCAATTAGGGTTCGTCCTTGGGCCAAACAAATGTTGTTTGGAAAATTTCATCTCAATCGAATAATAAATGTGACCTGCATTTTGTTCACAAGAATACATGAACAACAGACGGACGGACGGCAGACGGACTGACATGCATAAATCAATTCAGAAAGTGATTCTATGGAGATCCTTAAAAGTATCTATGGGTCTGTCTCGCTTCCTTCTCCACGTTACAAACAAATGCACAAAGACATAATACCCTTACCACTATGTGGTGTAGGGTATAATGAGGAAAATATGAAAAAAAATATTTTGAATGAGTCTGACAGGAAGCGGGTATAGCCTCAGGGTTGTATTTCTGTAATTTTACGAAGCTGTTCTACCTCCTTATTGTACTATGGCTGGACCTACGCCATTGCTAACCATTAAAAGAAGTCTTATATTCGACGGGCCGACTTAATGATACCCTACACCACTTTGCATATTTAATAGAGAGTAGAGCTTCACATAACAAATAAAAGTTTCTGTGGGGAATTTGTGAGAATTAAATCATAAATTAACTTGAATTGTGATAAAGATATGTATATGCCGGTGTTGGCATGTTTGTTTGGGATACATATATATGTATATAATCTGAAATGATCTCGATAAAATTTAGCAAAAGTATTTCTGAGTTGTATCTGATATATTTCCCCAAATATCGTTGTTACAGAGTGCATAATACGGCTGCGAAGGACAAAAATAACAAATCGTATGAACAATATATATGGATGATACAGATATATCTAAACCGATTTCGATCAAATTAACCGATTTCGATCAAATCTAAACCAAATACCTCGGTACCATCCTAGACCAGAAACTAAGCTGGAAGAAGAACATCGAGGAGCGAGCGAAGAAAGGCTTAATTGCACTTTATTCCTGCAAAAACTTCATAGGCTGGGTCTCAAGCCTCACATAAATAAATTGCTATATGAGTCTGTCGTCTGACCAATTCTAACCTATGGGGGCCTTGTTTGGTGGCACTCCTTAGGGAAAACCACCTTCAGTAAAAGCGTTGATAAAGTCCAAAGAGTTGAATCGCTACTAATTACAGGCGCGTTTAGGAGCACACCGCAATCCGCACTAGACACCCTACTCAATTTAAAACCGTTACGTTTATCTGCTAGGTGTGCCCTGCGACTCAATGAACTGGGGCAATGGTGGAGTCAGCCCTTTGGACACTCCGTCATTCTCGAGTATGTGGGAAGCATAGTAAATCAGGCTATAGCTAGCAATTATATACCACCTAGGCGCAGTTTTGAACTGCTTGACATACATATACCTAACAGAGACATCTCCACTTTTTAACGGTACAGTTGTCTATACTGATGGAGCTGAGGGTCTACTGTGAAATTCTAAGTATCCAACGATCCTTCAAACTAAACAAAAACTGTAGCTTTTTTCAGGCAGACATCTTTGCTGTCAAGAAGGCCATAGAGCTGCTAACGAATAGAATCAATGAAATGGACGGACCGGTGACTATATATGTCGATAGTCAAGCGGCCCTGAAGATTCTAAATTCATTTACAATCAAATCTATGGCAGTTCTGGAATGCAGGAATTCTCTAGAAAAGGTTAAATCGTTTGTCAAACTCTGTTCGGTCCCTGGGCACTGCAACATATCTGACAATGAATCGGCTGATGAAGTGGCCAGACGCGGATCTGAGTCAGTAGATCTGGAGATTGAGAGCTCTGTGAAGCCACCCTTATTTCACTTCTTCCAAGTACTGCATAAGCATTATCTTGGGAAATTTCAACGGAGCTGGCTAACTGGAAATGGAATGTAATGTCTCCAAAAATGATTTGGCCGGTGAACTCCAAAAGGAGATCAAGGTCACTCATATCCATGACGAGGCAGGACTTGAAGCTTGTGATAGGCCTAATTACAGGGCACTGCAACATAAAGTCCATGACATCCAAATGGGAGGGGGGGTGACGACACTGAATACGGCAGGCTTTGTCAGGACGAGGAAGAAACTGAGATGGTGGAGCACTTACTCTGCCACTGCCCAACTCTTATAGGTGTGAGACAGAGGCCAATGAGTAAGCAAATTCTGCCAGACTTGTCCCCCCTCTCCGACATCGAGCCCGCAGTCATTCTTCAGTTGGCCAGAAGACTATAATGGCTAAGGACGACACGTTGATATACCGTGGATGCAAACCTACTAACTTCCCTACCCTTTATTTAGATTCTCACTTCTTCACTATTCGCTATTCATTTAGTTTTCTTCTCTCAATTCTGTTCTCCTCTCTTCTTAATTAGGATGAACACAATGGACCAAAAGGCCTCCGAGTGGAGTGGTTGTTTATACAACCGCGCATCCTTTAACATAACCTAACCTACACTTCCACAAACCAAGGCAAGAGCCACATCGTTCACCTCACACACAAATATCGTCTGCGTTGTCCGCCAAGAAGCTTGTTAAATTATTTTAAACATCCAATAGTAGATTTATACATTTTTTTTTTTTTATTTTTTTTTTTTTTTTTTTAATATATTTCATTTTATTTATTAAAATAATTTTTAATTTTAAAAACTGGAAGATACATTTTTGAATATTTTGTCTTATATTGAGTTCACTGTTGGCTTAAAAATTTAGTTATATTTCTTGTTCTTTTTTTTTTTTGTAATTTTAAATTCATAATACATGTTCACTTTTTTCATCATTTAAAACTTATTTAATTATTCGAATGACTTTCAATTCGTTTTATAAATTTATAAAACAAATTTTTTATTATGCTTTGAGGTCATTTATATCCTTCTTGTGAATTTTTGATTGCATGTTGATATGATATTTCATTTATATTTAAGATTTCGATTCAAAACAAATATTTTTTTTATTATTGGAATAGTACTGCTTTTTTCTTTCTTTGTATAGAACAGATAATAATTTTTTCTTGAATCATAATTTTGTTTGAATCATGATTTTGATTCAATTTTTTTTCAATTCACTGATATGAATATTTACCATCACTTAATATTTTTAGCTTAATAGTCATAATTTAAAAATGTTTATTATCCTTTTTGCGACACCTTATTTCTTTTTAATTCGAATGGCACTGAAGCGTTTTTTTTTTTCAAAAATATTGTATTTTCGTTTTTTTTAATGCATGTATCCTCTTCGATGTGTGTTTTCGATATTTCTTTTTAATTCGTTGTTTTTATGTCAGGATCGAATTTCACTTTCTACACACTGCCACTATTTATTATTATGTTGTATTTAACACTTTATTAATCCAAATCCAATTCACTGTCTGCCAGCCTGGCTGGTATAATCCAATATGCTTGAAGAAATTTGTTCACCGCCACGACAATATTAAGAAATCCGTAGAAGATACTTCCGTTCCCGTAACACCACGCAACCAAACTGAACCTGTTGACGGACATTGTCTCCACTTATGAAGCATTTCAAAAGTGGGACGTCGCTGCATTCAACACCTCCCCCATTTCCCGCTTCCGGCATTTCGCATGCAATGACCCGCCAACTAGCCATAAGGGAATGAAAGACCTAAATAATACTGCAAACGAATATGCTGCGCTCGCTGGTTTTGTTCGTCTTTTCAATTGCCATCAGCTTTTTTTCTGAACGGTATTAATGAAAATGGATAAAAGGTAAATATACTTGGACAATTCTTCAGTTTTGCTTAGATCAACATTGAAGACTGGAAACTAAAACTCCACATTGCAAAAACAAAACGTAGCAATTTTGTTGTTGTGGAACAAAATTTCAAGACTAAGGTAAGTAATGTTTGTCAAAAACGGCCAATCTAAATAGTTGCAGCTCAAAGTAAAATTAAAAAAAAAAAAAAACAAAAACAAAAAATCCAAATATTTTTAGCAAACATTGCCAGCCAACGATTGTTTTATTATTAATGGACTAAATTTTCATAATTGTGCGTATTTGTTATTTTTAGTTCAATGAACTCATTTTTTTTTTCTTTTTTGAGTGGATGGCTCTTGGGCAAAGTTGAAATGTTGAAACAAGCACAGACTCCAAACTGACAATGGATCAAAGTAAAGCAAAGCCCTTTTATATTTTATTGGATTGTAAAAATGTTTACCAATTTATCCAAAATATGTCTTAAATTTACCTAAGACAAATTTACGGCAGTTATTTTTTTTTTCGAACGCCTCACATTCCCACTCCTGCCGACCGAGGGGGCGACCTCCCTTTACGGAGGGATCGCGTACACATCGTGATCCGCATCATAATGGGAATTCAGTAGGAAATTGAAAACCAGCTACAGAATCTAATTCATCAGCTAGTTTGTCAAATAATAAAACATGTATGTTAATTGTTTAAAAATAAAATTATTCTAGATTTAAGAACTTCTAAACTCATACAAAAATATACATTACAATACACAGAATTAAAGTCAACACACATTTTACTAAGAGGTTCGCCCATTGAATAATTCGTGCGGTGAAAATCTGTATATAATAATTGGTAGTATCTACTAGATCTAAACGGATCATTAATTATAATTAGATTAGATTAGGAAATCTGAAGGTATATTACCATTTAATATTTTTAGTACAAACATGGAGTTCAACATAATACGTCTGCTTTTAAGTGTAGGCAATCTAATTAATTTTAGCCTGCTAGCATAAGAAGGCAAAACAAAATCACTATTCCAATGTAAACCTCGTAAGGCAAATAGCAGACATTGTTTTTGCACGGATTCTTTTTTATTTGAGTATATTGCATATTGAGGATCCCATACAACAGAACCATATTCCAATATAGGTCTAACAAGAGACGTAAATAACTGTTTTGTTATATATGGATCAGCAAATTCTTTGGCCCACCGTTTAACAAAACCTAAAACACCATTTGCTTTATTTACCATTGTTATTATATGGCTATTAAAATTTAATTTTGGATCCATCAAGAGGCCTAGATCGACAAATGAATCTACAGTTGATAATGAATGGCCGTCAATATTATATTGTAATATCAGAGAAGAAGATCTGGAGAAGCACATATGCTTACATTTGTTTAAATTTAAATCCATACAATTTAACCTGCACCATTCAAAAAGGCTATCTAAATCGTTTTGAAGTAAACTGGCTCGTTTATCACAATTATGGGAAATGAATAATTTAACATCATCTGCGTACATTAACAATTTCGAGTAATTTATGGAATTAGGTAAATCGTTGATAAATAAAAGAAAGAGGACCGGTCCAAGGTGACTTCCTTGCGAAACACCCGATGGAACGTTAATCGTTTTGGATAGATATCCTTCAAACAAAACTAGTTGTGATCTATCTTGTAAGTAAGATGATATCCATTTGACTAAGTTTGTGTTGAAACCCATATAATTTAATTTATATATTAAGAGTTCATGGTTGACCCTATCAAAAGTTTTCAATTTTCAATATTTCAGTATAAATTGTATCAGTTTGTTTACGCTGAACAAATCCTTTTATTACTGTTGACGTAAATTATATAAGATTTGTTGTAGTTGAAAGACCACTACGAAAACCAGTATAGATTGAATTTTCTGTGAAATTGCTGCAGTAATTAATTTTTCAAACAATTTTGGTATGGCACTTAATTTTGCAATTCCTCTATAATTTGACACATTAGTAAGACTACCAGACTTATGTAAAGGTATAATATAAGATTTTTTCCAGAAAGTAGGAAAGTGACCAAATTTAAGTGAATAATTAAACAATATAGTTAACGGAAGTGCTAATGTTTCTGAACAATATTTAAGAATTATATTAGATATGCCATCCGGTCCTGGACATTTAATCGATTTTAAACTACGCAGACTATTGGACACACCCTGACGTTGTAGAAAAGGCATACAAATTTGATCAGCCTGTGATAACTTATAAGGATACGAATCTTTAATTTGGCAAGATGTACTGGAATAGGTTGTGGCAAAAAAAAATCTGCGAAACATTCAGCAATATCTGTGCCTGTGACAAATTCTTTATTGTTATATTTCAATACTGAGGGCTTTGAGGAAACTTTTCGTTTTAGATTAACAAAATCATAAAAAGATTTAGGATTGGATTTAAAATTATTTTTAATCTTGTCTAGGTAAAGATTATACAATCTACGAGACTCTAAAGTATATTTAGATCTAGCAACAGAGTAATTAGTGTAGTCTATTGTTAAGCCTGATTTTTTATATTTACGAAAAAGCTTATTTTTAGAGTTTTTTAAACTTGATAACTCAGAGGTTATCCATGGATATTTATTTGAATTTTTAACTCTAGTGGTTGGAACACATTCCAGTTTAAATCTATTTAAAATATCATAAAATTTATCAATTACATATTCTAAATCTTTATGGCTGTTACACAGGCACACAGAAGCCCAATTTACGGAGGAAATGAGGGTATTAAATTTTCGAAAATTAGTTTTTTTTTGTAATTAAGGACAGTTTTAAATGAGTCGGACTGACTTTCTTCAATTACATAACTGTGAGTCATGGAGATATATAAAGTTGGATGGTATATATCTTCAGGAGTGGTTATTGGAGGAATTTGTTCGAATTGGTCACCTTTGGAACGAATAATGGCCAATGAAATCGTCATACGCTGCCCGAATGTTGCTCTGCGGTATTTTGGCCCGTTCCCGACGAAGCGCTTGCTTGAGGTGATCAACACTTTGGTATTTTTTATTGCCAACCTCGCTTTCCAAAGTACTCCAGACACAATAGTCCAACGGATTGGTATCCGGGGATTTTGGTGGCCATTGTGCGCTGGAAATGAAGCGAGGAACCTCGTTTTGTAAACATTCGTGGATGGCGTGTGCTGAGTGCGATGGTGCTGAATCCTGTTGGAATGTCCAAGGTCTGCGGACAAAATGTTTGCGTGCCCAAGGCTTTATTACACCCTCCAGAATATTTTCGAGATAATATTCGGCATTTATTCTGATGCCACGGTCGATTAATACGAGCGGAGAGCGACCATCGGCTGTTATGGCGGCCCACACCATCACCATGGCCGACGCTTGAGTTCTGGTGCCAACCGAAGGTGCACTTTTTTAGCTAACCTCTGTGGCAAGTATACACGATCCTTTTATTTGTTTACAAACTGCTGGACAACGAATGTTTTCTCATCGGAGAAAACCAAATTCGGCAGTTCACCACTTTCGGCCAAGCGAAGCAGCTCTTTTGAGTCTATTTTCTTTCTGTTGCGGTGTAAGTTCTTGTAATTTCAATGACTTTACCACATTTAAATGTTGAAGTGCTCTAACGATAATCACTTGTGGTTTTCCAGCCAAATATAAAGAAATCACACTATCACGCTTGAATTCCATCACGAATAACTTTTTTCTGGAAAATTCTCACCAAAATGCTTTTGTACGCTTGTAAACAATATAATGAGCTGTCACTGGAATAATATTAACAGCTGTGGGACGACTGGTTTAGAAATGACAGCAGTTTGAATTTGGTTGCAGTTTTTTTTATCTAACCCTGTATATGCTCTCTGGCGTGCTGATAGGCATTCGAAACAATTTCACACAAAAATCTAATGGTCATCTAAAATTTAGGACTTCTGCCCTATCGTTAGGTCTCTCCACATGCAAAATTTCGTATCGATTGGTTTCAATTGTGACCGACTGCAATGTCTGGAAAATTCAAATTTGTTTGGTCCATTTAAACTAATAATGTACATGTTCAAAAACAATAGGCTTTAATTCTGTACCTAATCCTACCCCCTTGTAAAATTTCATGAAAATCGAACGATAATTGCGACCTGTATATAATACCCTCAAAACATAGTGTTGGAGGGTGTACAAAATTGCAAAACTTACAATTCAAAATTGTAAGTCAAATTGAAAAAATGCTATAAAAGCTATGGCTAAAATAGAAAAAATGTAACAAAAATATTCCATTTTTATTATCATATTTTTACGCGATTTTCTTAGATTTTATCCCTTTCTGGCATAATGCCATTTCGAATTGCTGACAAATATGAAAATCAGTCCAGCGGTTCTTGAGTTATAAGCAGAATAACTAAGATCTATTGATTTTACCTATGTAGGGATCGCGTATACATCATGATCCGCGCATTGGCTATCAACATCACTGTAATGGTCAGAAGTGACCTTTTATTGTATTTGTGATATTCGCGCTTTAGTGGAAGTTTTCGTATCTGTTGACGTAAAAGTTATGGTTTATATTCGCCCTTATTACGGCTGGCGTAGTCGTTTCGAAATTTGCAAGTAGACGCGTCGTAACAACTAATTGGTATTATGTGTGTCGTATGCGAGAAATTACAACTCTGTATGAAATTCTGTTTCAATTTTCGTACCACAAGACGCGTTCTAATTCGACAAACACCGCAAAATTAGTCGATAGAGATTTTGTTGTCGACAACACAAAAAAATTTTTCCAAATTGACATTACAAAAGAATAATATACGGAACAACTCTAGTTTAATAAAAACTCTTCGATTTTTTCGAAAAATTTTCCAGAGGTAGGTATTTTAACCCTGATCCCGGGAAACTATCAAGACCCCGCCTGACACCCGGATCCACTTACCCGATATAGACAATATGGGTACCGATTGAAAGCTTATGGAAATACCTAAACAAGTGGTAATGGTTCGGAAGTTATAGTCAAATTATCGATTTTTTGGACCCGGATTTTTATGAAACCCCCAAAAAGTCAAAAAAGGGCCCATAATGGAGTTCAACAAAATTGTTTCCAAATTATAGCTGACACTCTTACCTTTCCAAAATGCTACAATTTGTGCTAATACCTTTTTCGGGTCCAGAGATATGGCTCTTTCCATCCGCATAACCTTCCGCATAGCCTTCGGCCGGGGCTTGGGATTTTCTCCTCTGAGTATGTCCCACACCGGCTAACGCAAACCAAAGATTTCTGAATTTGATGCTTACGCTAAATATACCTTTTTTATTGAAAACATAGTTTTAATCCCCCAAGAAAAAAACATTTTTCCGGTATCAGGGTAAAAAAATTTCGAAAAAATTGAAGAGTTTTTACTAAACTAGAGTTAAGCCAATTTGGCTAGAGTTAACAGCAATGGCTTGAAAAAATTAATATCAAGGAAGAATGGAACAAAATTGGTGCAAAACTCAATATCCTAGGACCGCCGGTTCGAACAGGCGAGGCCTAGAAGAAAGTCTGGGCCGACTACAAATTCAAATTGAGGAAGAAGCTAGTTCATAACAAGGCAGAATGTCGTGCTACAGGTGGAGGGCCCTTCAAGCAGTTCATTTTAAGCGACACGGAGGAAGCAGCATCACGCTTGTTACAATTAGAAACAATTGTAAATGCAGGGAACCAAGCAATTTGAATTCAACAGCGTCCAACACTTGGTGAACTGGAGACTGAGGAGGAACTGTTTGAAGGGTTTGAATTTAGTGAAGACAAAGAAAACCACAATTCCTGCACACTGACTCCTCCAAGCGTAAACAGACTACACCGAAATATGCAACAGAAGCAGGTTGTGGTCATCCAGTATATCTGTACGCTTCCCTCTGTAAGCACAAATAACCGGCATTATTTTTCGTCTCACGTTAAAATCATTTTAAATATACACATCTTCATCCTCAGCTAAAAAATTGCCAGGACTCAACATATTTCAATATTTAATTAAACAAATAATCGTTTTACTTCAACCATTTCAACTGACGCTTTTATTTCTTTTAAACGGTAAAAATCAAAAAATGTTCATTATTACAGAGCACCCTGCTTTTTCATATCTATTACAAAAAAGACGTTGTCGAAAATTGTACATTATACCAAAAATTTCTAGTTACGACAACACCTACGACAACGTCTACGACACTTGAACGCCTACAACGCCAACCATAATAAGTTTGATTACTTGCTAAATATTGTCCGATGACCGTACAAATTGGCAAGCTTCTGCCCTGCCCTTTTTTTCGGTTCACTTCAATCCCAAAAACAATAGGCTTCTATTCTGACCCAAAGCCCACCTCCAATTTCAATTTCGTGAGGATCGGGGCATAATTGCGACCTGAAGCGTGATTACAAATTAACATGGACAGACGGATAGATCGACTCAGCTGGGCGAGATAGGAAAATGCATACATAGTTTCCTATGTTATTGGTCCCCATATTTCGATTATAATTTTTGACCCAAACAAACTTATAATACCCCCCATTATATAAAAATTAAATAACTATTTAACATAGCAATAATCGAGTTTTGTTATTTAAAATATTGTGTTCTGTGAATCACTTTTTCAATTGCAATGGTTTAGCAATACGAAAGATAAATTTTATATTAGAATAAGTTAAAAAGCAGTAAGTTCGGCCGGGCAGAACTTTTAATACCCTCCACCATTTGCAACGAATTTGGAAATTTTCAAAAAATAAAATCCTTAAAATATTCTGTTAAAATTTTAAAAATACCGAATATAGCCGTTATATTGGGGTCTATACGACGTGGACATACATAGGCATTGTTTGTCATACGGCATTACCATATTGAAATTCGAAACTTGAAATAAGCGGTGAATAATGTAGCTAAAATCATCAAAATATCGTATATAAGGAGGTGCCGTTAAATTTGAGCTGTGCGAAGACCTGGACCAGCATAGACAGTTTTCGGTCACAGGCTGTAGCATCCATTACGAACTTCAAATACCACATTTCAAACAATTTCGGTGGGTATTGTACCTAAAATCGTCAAAATACCGAATATGGGGAGGTACTGATATATGGGGCCTATACGAAGACCTGAACCTGCACAGACAATTTTCTGTCACAGACTGTAGTATTCATTACGAACTTCAAATACCAATTTTCAAAAAATTCCGGTGAATAATGTCGCTAAAATCATCAAAATACCGAATATAGAGAGGTACCGTTATATGGGAGCTATACCAGGACGTGGACCTCCACAGACAATTTTCTATCTTAGGGTGTAGTATCCATTTGGAACTTTAAATACCAAATTTGAAACAATTCCGGTGAATAATGTCCCTAAAATCATCAAAATACCGAATATAGGGAGGTACCGTTATATGGGGGCTATATGAAAACGTGGACCTACATGGCCCATTTTTTTCCTACTGGAAAAATAAACACGTGTGCAAAATTTTAGCCATCTATCTCCATTCATTCGAAATATAGCGTGATTACAACAGACAGACAGACGGACATCGCTAAATCGACTTAGAATTTTACGCTGATCAAGAATATATATACTTTGTTGGGTCTGACATGAGTATTTCGAGGAGTTACAAACGGAATGACAAAGTTAATATACCCTCCATAGTATGGTGGAAGGTATAAAAAGGTAAATAAAATACATTTTTCTTTTTATTCATTCAACAAAAACAAATATATTAAAATTAAATGGCAGTAATTCAATTCAATTGTAGATTATCTTATCAAGTATAATATGTGTGTTTAATTCAAAGCAAAGTTTTTATGGTATTTCATTCACATTTAATGTAACCTTAAATGGTAAAAAGTCTTTTTTAATACGCACAGAACGCGTAATTGTTAAATAGAGTCCAATAAATCTATTCTCTAAAGTCTACTTTAATCCAACAAAAAAAGTATTTAACAAAACTAAGTGTATTTTACAAGTTTTTACAAATATCTGAATAGATCAATTCATCAATTGTTTAAATGAAAAATAAATGCAATATATTCAATTGAAATTTCCAAATTAAATGGCCAAGTCCATTGACTTTTTAGGATTGTATTTCTCATAAATATCCTGCATTAGGTCACGAAACAAAACTGGATTAATGTTTCGGCTAACTTTGAATAAAACAAACCAGTCACCAAAAGAAAAGTCACTTAGAGCATTCCTTATACACGCTCGTGGCATTGATCGAGTTCGAGAATATATCAACTGCATACGAAAGGCTGGGTTGTATATCATTACGTAGCGATAAATCAAGTTCACGCCGCTCATTATACACATTATCATGAACCAACACCATAAAAATGCAAATATTTTCTCATTCAGTATGTTCAAGGGTAAAATACATAGTACGTCCCATGTGTTCATTGACCCAGACGGGCCGTATGTTCCCAAATGACATTTGGCTATTTTGGGGAAAACTTGAGAAGTCATGACATTCCATCTATTCCAATCGTAGTGTGGTATTGCGGACAGGGCTTTTACATACTTTGCCCAGAATCCATTCAAGAAAATATCCAACACCAGCATGTTGACAACACTGATGGTGAAATTCAATGTTTCACAAAATATATATCGAGCCACATAACAAAAGTGCACGTCCTTATAGTCTGCTGTAAAGTATCTAAGCAACATTTTCTTCTTCAAATTATAGACTTCGTCGGGTAGTATTGCATTTCCTAGAACAAAAAAAAAAAACAATGAGTGTGAAGAATATTATGCATTGTTCAAGACTTACCGATTTCCGAGCATAGTTCCTTTAATCGCTGTCCCTCCCATACTTTCCATAAAAATGATGGAAAATAAAATATCAATGATTGAAGTAGCAATACCATTATAACCCATTGATAATAGCGTAGATATACACGTTCCGTCTGATCAGGTTTCTCGGGTCCAACGCCTTAAAATGAAAAGGAAAACATTATTTTATGTAGTTTAGTTTAATTAAGGCATGGTTTTGATTTTTTTTTTTTTTTTGGAGATAAAATTTAATTGCAAATACAAGGCATGAAATCACGCATATCATTATTACACCAAAAGATGAAAATACACCTGAAAGCTGATTTAGTTCAGCGGCACCTTTGCAATTTACATCCTGGTGGTCTTTAATTCTTTCTCCAAAATTTCGATTGTTCATGCATAAAGTATATCGAAATATGTATATATATGTATATATATTTTTTTTCCTATGTAAAGATATAATCTTTTAAAATTTAGAATACATTTTCTATATCTGCAATTTTGGAGAGGGTGACCAATTTATAAGCTTTATATCCTAGCTGTAACTAATCATTATTTTAACTTTGAATTGAAAAAATATGACTACACAAAAAATGTTTTCATTAAACATTACAAGCGGAATGAAAAATTTTACCTTATTAAATTCTGGCTCATGTGTTGAAACCTTTTATAGCTTTTACTGACAAGAATAACATGGCACATTTGTACCTCTTATAAAGCAATATTGTAACTCGTTGTAAAATGAGATTATCTGAAGTGGGTTTGCTGATGGAGCTACGAACTACAATTTGGAATATACATTAGTATACTCTGTTCCAGTAGTTGTAAAGAATCGCTGATTTGTTTCGCAGATCTGAAGACAATCGGCCTCTTACATCACATTTTATAAGAGTTGTAAATATTCAAAATTTGACCCTTTGTGGGGGAGGTACTTGATAGAGTGGACCGATATTGTCCATATTAACACCTGACCTAGCACTGACGCAAATATTAGGACTTGCAAAGTTGGGGCAAAATCGGATTATCGTTTCTCTTTCTGTGCAGAAAATATATTTTTTAGAAAATTTGGGAGGAGGTGCCAGAAGGAGTGCACTGATATTGCCCATCTCCGAACTCGATCTAAGTTTGAAAAAATTATTACGATATACCAAGTTTGGACCAAATGGGATACTCCCTTCGAGAGTTATTGTGGGCACCAGGGGATTGGAACTTCTGAATTGGCTAAAATATTACTTCTCATTAATTAAGTCATTTCATGAAAAAATATATCATATAAAAAATAAGTATGTAATATAGTGACATTTTGTCAGTAAACGACACCAAATGCTATTTCCTTGAGTCGGCATAGTGATTTTTGTAACAACGTTACTTAAATTTAACGTAGCGTACACAAATATTCAATTTCCCAACTATGGTAAAATGTTTCGAAAGTCTGTATTACCCAAATACGCCAGTAACAAATCTTAAATCAGACCAAAACCGCATAAGATACCTAAATTCAGTCTTTTCTGCGGTGTAAGTACCTTCGAAAAACCCCATAATTATGTGAGGGCTAAATTTAGAGATCGTCTGTTTGACAGAAGAAGAAAACATCTGGTCTTTCCAGAACTGCAAGAATGTAAAAGTTTTTACTTCGACAACTGATCTTCCTTTAATGATATAGAATCAATAAAACAAAACCAAGTTCGTCCGAACTTATATCAAAATACCAAATAAAGGGTAATATCTTCAAAATACCAAATTAAGGGTGGTACCGTTGCATAAACCTGCAACCGTGATATTATTGTCTCGTCGTTTCAACAACAGATGACTGCTGCCTACGAAATTTGTGGACCGGTTTCTTGGATGATTAGATTAGACGTGATCAACGTGTATTAACCAATAACTATTAACTGCTACATCCTTCATCTTGCGTTGTTGTTTCTGTAAAAATATCAATAACAGACAGTATCCATTTCATTATGTGATTCCGGGCCTAACCGAACTTGTCTTGAAACCGAATTTTCGTGTCCGTCCCCCCATGAAAAAATACTTCCTGGGATCTGGGTAAAAATAACTATCTCTGGAAAAAATTAAAAAAAATCAGAGTTTTTACTAAACTAGAATTAGGAAAAAGATTTTCATGTAGGTACGAATTAAAAACAAGTAAAAATGCTGTAAGTTCGGCCGAGCCGATTTTTGAATACCCTCCGCCGTTTGGAACGATTTTGGCAATTTTCAAAAAATAAAATGCGTTAAAAATGCTGTTAAAATCTTAAAACTACCGAATGCAGCCGTTGTATTAGGGTCATTATGACGACGTGGACCTGCATAGGCAACTTTTGTTATAAACCATTTCAGTACTCAAATGCGAAGCTTATCATCATCAAAATACAGAATATCGGAAGGTACCGTTATATGGGGGCTAGACGAAGACGTAGACCGGCACAGACAATTTTCTGTCATTGTTTGTAGTACCCATTACAAAGTTCAAATACCAAATTTGAAACATTTCCGGTGAATAATATCACTTAAATCACCAAAATACCGAAAAAAGGGAGGTACCATTTGAGTAAAAATTTTCAATCTACTTAATTTCGTTCGGAAGCTAGAGTGATTTCCACAGACGGACGGACATTGCTAAATCAAAATAGAATTTTAGGCTGATCAAGTATATATATATATATACTTTGTGGGGTCTAAAATGTATATTTCGAGGTATTACAAACGGAATGACAAACTTAATATACCCTCCATACTATGGTGGAGGGTATAAAAATTCGGTGAATAATGAAGCTAAAATCATCAAAATACCGAATATAGGGAGATACCGTTACATTGGGGCTATACGAAGACGTGGAGCTGCACAGACAATTTTCTGTCACAGGCTGTAGTATGCATTACGAACTTGAAACACAAAATTTGAAACAATTCTGGTGAATAATGTCGCATAAAACACCAAAATACCAAAAAAAGAGAGGTATGATTATAAAAAAGAGAGGTATATACCACAATACTTGACCCATTTTCAATACACCCTCCATACTATGGTAGAAGGTATGAAAATAGAACATACAACCTATCGCCGTGTGGTAAGATTTGTTAACAGCAACATGAGAATTTCCGAGATAGTATAATGGTTCACATCTCTTCTTATCGACCACTATCACAAATTGATGTAAGGGACATAAGTTAATAACATACCTTCCGCAATTCGGACAGCAATTTCTCGCTTCTCATCGTATGTACTATTCGAATAATATGCCAACTGCAATTGTTTATATTTCCAATCCGTGTACTCCAGTACAAATGTTCCCATCGTCCAGCAATAGGAATTCACATAGTCCATATATTTCGCATCACTTATGCACATAATAGGATCGCCAAAATACTGTTTGGCCGACAGAAGGAAGGAACATGTCAAGAGTATGACCACCGTACACTTGGAATGAAGAGTAAAGATCACATCATAGATGCGAACCGACTTGAATTGCAAGTATTTTGACAATGGCTTGACGACATCATACATTGTGCCCCTGTATGCTTGCGAAAACAATTCAAATAAATTCTTATGAATATCCAAACGATGCTGAAGTCACTTAAAATGAACACAAAGAGATCCTTTCGGCAGGAAACGATAGAATTTTCAACGTGTTATCGGCTGTTATGTTTTGTCCTTAGCTCACAAACAAAATTAAAATAATAACGGTACTTTGTTAGTGATTGCATGTCATTTGATATTGATGGCTCCTTCAACTTAGACGGACAGTTCGACGCTTGCCAAAACAATATCAAGTTTACATCAAGTTCGACTAAAATACATGTAATGCTAGGAACACAATTGGAGCGAACGACGAATTTTTTCGCGGCGTATGTTCGTCGTCAAAAATAAAACACATATGTGTATATGGAAGTGCACACAATCACGGCACCGGCGAAAATTTCGTCGGTCGCCGCGAACTCAATTAGCTTTATTTCTATTTCATACGCCGGCGACCGGCGAACAAAACAGTACAAGGTGGCCATACTTGTACGAATTTTATGTGTTTTAGTAAATAAAGTTACTTTTTACTTTAAAATTTGTTATGGTCACTCTACTATCTGTTACTCGTATAAAAAAACATAATTAATTTGTTTATTTATTTGTGTACTTGCGCCTGAGTGAAGATGGATATCAGTGAATTTATAATAGAGAAGATGGACATAAGTGAAATTATAATAGAGAACGTAAAGAATTATGTGTTCTTGTATAATTCATTGTAGTCAACAAATGAGCAAAAAGTAAACAACTTCATCAGCTGTTTTATAATTTCGTCGGTATTGTGTTCCATACGACGAATTTTCGCGGCTCATTTTGTCGCCGCGTAGGGCGAAATTCGTCGTTCGCTCCAATTGTGTTCCTAGCATAAAAAATGTATGGAACAGCTTAGTTAATTTTTTAAGATTTAAATTAATATTTTGCGTTTTAATTTTATCGTTTTGTAAAAACAAACACTAATAAAATAATTTTTGAAATAGGAAAATGTTTTTATTCATTTACAATTTACAGCGTCATCTAAAGGCCAACGTACTCAGTCGACGTTTTTCACCACTCAAGTAAAACACATGTATTTACATGCATGCATGTATGAAAGTTACCCAAATTCGTCGAGTGTACGAAATTTCAAAGTTGAACAATTTCAGAATTGACAAATCCTTTTGTTGTGTTTGGAAAATATAAATGAATTATGCAAAATATGTAAATTGGTAAATTATCTGTTTTTACAACGCTAATAGTTCGTATAATTTTGGCGATGGTAGAAGAATGCAGGTAGATGCATCGACACAGTTGCTGGGAGAATGAACTGTCACTGATTTTAAATTTGAAAACGTTGAATGAAAAATTATTGAAATTGTTAAAAGTTGTTGAATAATGAATATAATAACAATCTCCGATTTGCGTCGTATAAGTCGTATATAACACATAAAAACCTACTTAATGTTGACAAAACATTTTAATTTTTTTGACATATAAATATTGCCAAGCGTTAATGCATTTACCCATGACATATTTACAGAAGGTAGAACAAAGCTACCCCCAAAATACAATTTTTTTCTCTTGGTGCCATTATTCTTTCAAAACATATACCCCATGGCAGAAGAATACAGGTAGATGCATCAATGCTTGGGAACATTGATATGTCAACAATTTTTAAATGTTTCTTCAAAACTAAATAGATTTTTATATGTTTTTTTGTTATACTACGTCATTCTGAGGTTGTTATAATAAGCGTTTTTCAACAATTTTTTTTAAATAATTTTTCATTCAACATTTTCAATTCCAAAATAGGTTTGACAGTTCATTGTCTCAGCAGCTCAGAAAAAGAATAATTTGAATTTATTTAAAATTTGGTTGCAAAACAAATGCAAATTTTCGACGTAAATGGGTAACAAATTGTACAATTTCTAATAAAACTATATTGTCCTACTCTTTTAGCTACAATCTTGTGGATTACCACACACTGGCTCAATAAGAAAGGTTGCTTAAAAGCAATGGTACATGCATACTTAGGGTATCGTACCAACCTCGTCTTGACGGCGTAACCAATTACCGATTCCAAAAAAAAAGGTTGCTTAACTTCAAAGAAACTAAGAAAATACAACTCTGTACTGGAGCCTTATTATGTCAAATAGTCTTTTTAAACATGAAACAATTGGTTTTGTTTATTTTTATACCCTCCACCTTGGAAAGGAGGGTATATTAACTTTGTCATTCCGTTTGTAACATCCTTAAATATTCGTCGTAGACCCCATAAAGTATATATATTCATAATCAGCATAAAATTCTAAGTCGATTTAACGATGTCCGTCTGTCTGTCTGTCCGTCTGTCTGTCTGTCTGTCTGTTGAAATCACGATACAGCCCACATTATTTGACGTAGAGCGCCAAAATTTAGCAGAGCAATTGGTATTGTGTCTAGGATGGTTGGTATTGAAAATGAGATATATCGGTCCACGTTCTGGTATAGTCCCCATATAACGGTACCTCCCGATATTCGGTATTTTGATGATTTATGCCACATTATTTAACGGATTTGTCTGAAAATTGGTATTTGTAGGTCATAACGGGTCCCTGTACGTGTGGCAAAACATAGCATGTATAGGTCCACGTTTTGGTATAGCCTTCATATAATGGTACCTCCCGATATTCGATATTTTGATCATTTTTGCCACAGTTTTTAACGGATTTGTCTAAAAATTGGTATTTGTTGGTCATAATGAGTTCCAGCTCCGGTGGCGAAACATTGCATGTATGGGTCCATGATTTGGTATAGCCCCCATATAACGGTACCTCCCGATATTCGGTATTTTGATGGTTTTTGCAACATTTTTTCACTGATTTGTGTAAAAATTGGTATTTGTGAATCATAATGGGTCCTAGTTCGTGTGGCGAAACATTGTATGTATAGGTCCACGTTTTGGTATAGCCCCCATATAACGGTACCTCCCGATATTCGGTAATTTGATGATTTTTGCCCCTTTTTTCACGTATTTGTCTGAAAATTAGTATTTGTAGGTCATAATGGGTTCTAGCTCCGTTGGCGGAACCTTGCATGTGTAGGTCCACGATTTGGTAGAGCCCCCATATAACGGTACCTCCCGATATTCGGCATTTTAATGGTTTTTGCCACATTTCTTCTAATGTTTCCTTTACCCTAAGGTGGAGGGTATTAAAAGTTTGGCCCGGCCGAACTTAATGTTTTTTTACTTGTTTTTACAAAATTTATTATATTTTATATACGTTGCAATCATGGCACAATTACAGAAGGTAGGACAAAGCTACCCCCCAAATACAATTTTTTAGTGCCCTTATTCTGTCAAAACATATACACACTTTGTGTATATGTGTGTATTGTTTTGAATAAAAAATACAATAATCTGAAATTGTGATACAACTGTATGGTCCTACTATTTAAGATTCCATCTCGTGAAATAACCCCGAAATTCCATTCTTATTTCGCGGGTTTTGCCCAATATAAGAATTTTGGAAAAAAAATAAAAAATAAAGCCAACTGTTGTATATATAAAAGTCAATTTGAAACTATAAGACTCCTGCACGGAGTTGCATTTTTCTAGGAGGTTACATTTTTTTAAATGATTAATTTGACAACATCTCATTGTCATAATTTTTATCACTAAATCCATTGTACATGGACAAATGAAAGATGGGAACCTGTTTATGTATTGAAATGTGACAAAGTAAATTACAGAAAATGCAGAGATAGGAATGCTTATTTGAAATGACTTTACCATCTTAATTTTACCATGGTTGCAATAAGCGTTTTGAAAACACCCGAATTTGAATATTTTCTGAAAAATTTTTTATTATTGAAAAGAATACACACACACATACAACGCCAATCGGAGGTTGTTATGAAATGTATTTTTTTAACAAATTTTACAAAATTAAACAATTTTTCAATTTGAGAATTGGTTTGACAGTTCATTGTCCCAGCAGCTTTGTCGACGCGACTACTTGCATTCTTCTATCATGAGTCTATATCAATTTACCCCATAAGATTGTTTTGAAATGCGAAGAAACGACCAACAGTTTTCAATCCTTATGTTTATTGGGCTAATTAGAAATTCGTTGCTACAATCTTGTGGATTACCGGTCGGAAATTGATATTCTCTGGTGTATGTCCAAAACCGAATATAAAACAAAGCAGCTAAGCAAAAACCTTTTATCCGATACAAAACATGGCCAATAGGCCGGGTAACCAATTATTTCCCCTCGAAATCTAATTCCTTCTTTGTAATCATTGTAAAAATACAATTTCTAATGAAGGGATTTAAAGGATACACTCCCAATGTCAACTAAGATGGGTTTAACAATCCAGAAATAAGTATCAATGTTGACAATAAGTGCTCAAAAATATATTGAAATTGTTTCAACTATTTTTAATTTAAAGAAAGGAACAATTTTTTAATATTTTGTTACCGTTTGTATTCATTTCGAACGAAAATGTACATAGGGGGAGTTGCGTTTAATCAAACCAGACATAAAACTGGCATTAAATAAGAAAATGTAAAAATAAGTAAAAAGTTTCAAAAATATTACATTTATTTCTTCCTACGCTGATTGTCGATCCAGGTTTTGATTTGAGGAGCAGTTCTTTTACGGAGAGCTTTGTTACTGTGTATAGCCTCTGAACACTCCTTCAAGGATGGTAATTTTTCCATTGTAAGAACGTCACCAAATATTAGTTTTATAGCACGCTTTTCTTCGTCAGTCCATCTGGTCCGCTTTATTTTTCTGAAGGAAGAAACTAAAAATATGGAAAGTATTATTATTAATTCGTTTATAAATCATCGTTGTTTCGAAAAAATTCTATTTCGCAAATATTGCTTGTCTTGTATGAAGGAAAACTATAGTATGGAATGGACAATTCTAATCAAGGTGTGTTTAAAAGGTCATCTGATTCATTTTTTTGCTATTTTTTTAATTAGAAATATATCTATATGTTGATTGACTGGGTATCCTCATTCACACGAAACGGCTGAAGGTAATTTTTTGCAAATTTAACTAAAAATGCACGAAGAGTGCAAAAGGTACAAAACAATATTATTGAACGATTGGTAAGAGCTAAAGCTGTAGTAAATTTTTTTTTAGAAAAACGTTTTAAAAGAAAACTTGGAACGGATGGCCTGGCATTTTGAAATATAGCTTTGGCTGCTAGCTAACAGAACCAGTGATATTAATTTCTTTGTCAGTTTTAGCCACTTTAAACATGGCAATCAGCTCACTCAAAGAAATGCTGCTAGTTGGGAGCAGTACCAAGATACTTATCGTAGCTTAAACTCTGCAAAACTACTCGATTCTTGTACATATTTTATTAATTCAAAACACTTTTGTACTTACTACTTGTCCTGGCTTCCTCAATGTTGACGTTTTCTTTATTCGAAACATTGGCATTGTCTGAGCCCCGAGTAGACATTCTTCCTGCGCGATTATTAGACTTATAACTCTTTTTGTTTAGGCATTTGCGCAAATGATCGCCACCTGTAGATTTTGTATAAAATCCCTTACAATTGGCGCAGCATATGTAATCACCAGCGTTGCGCTTTGCATACCTTTGTTGCCGCCTACTTACAATTAGAGTGCCGGTGTTTTCTTCTTTCGAAGTATTATGGAGAAAATCTCCCTCCTTCCGAAGTTGATCAATGATTTTCAAACGCTCCATACTATGCTTTGGAAGCTTCATTGCAATTTTGACAAGTTTTTCACATTTGTGTTTTAAAAACAAATGTCTGGAAATCTTGCATTGTAAAGTTTTGCAGAACAAACAAAAGTGTTGTTTAGACTTGTTTTGCGATACTGGAACAATCAAATTTTCAAAATTCACTGAATTGGGCATATTTTCTTTGTCGGAACCGGCTTTACTGCTTCTTTGTTCTTTTATAAAATTGTCTTGATTTTTTGATAGGGCTGTTTCCTGTCCCTTAGATTGAATTGAAAGACTATCACCCAACTCGATGTTATTTCTCTCTGTCAATCGAAATGATCTCTCCTTTCCAAACGGGCTTTTGGAACATGTTTTTTTGTGGCGTGTGTCATTTTCATATTTTTCGATGGAGTATTCTGATGTGTAGGATGATGAATCACTGAAAGATTCTGAGGTATCGCTGGAAGACTCTGACGTTTGCTCTTGTGCTGTTGTGCTTAGTTGGTTTTGGAAGGAGATTTCAAAGTGTTTATTTGTTTTGTATCCACTACCATTTATCTTAGTCGAATATAAATTAGAATCTGCATCTTCATGACTTGATTTTTTACGCGAGAAATCAAACCTAACTATGTCCTTTTGGTTCTTCAGATATTTAGGAAAAACTTTGTTGATAAACATGGATGTTTTCTCTGCCCAGAGCACAGCGAACTCATCTAGTAGAGATACCATGTCTTCCTTCTGATTTGTAAAAAATTCTCTTCTTTGCAATTGTGCGCATTTTTTAATTAATTTTGATAAATTAGAAGCTACCGCTGGTGTAAGAAAGCTCTGTTTGGAGTAGTCCCATTTCGCAGTTTTGCAAAAAGCCTCAATTGCTTTGTCAATCAAAGAAGGTGTAAATATATTTTTCAATGCGGAAATTGCCGGTTCCAACCGCATCAATTCTAATTTAAACCTTCCCAAAAGACGCAAATTTGCTCTTATTGGATCATGGTAATTACTCTCACCCCGTTTCTCCAATAAGCCATTTCCATACGTTATAATTAATTCATCATAGCGAACTGCTTGGGTTATCTTATCATTTCTTAATACAGGGAATACTTTAGATTTCATTTCATTACTGGCTATTGGGTGCACAAACTGCGTCAATTTGCGTCCTTCAATGAAATTTTTTCTAGAATTTTTCGGTTTCAAGCAATTACGGATATGGTGTCTAGCAGCGAATTTTGAATAAAATCCCTTACACTTTGCGCAACATACATAATCATCAGCATTGTGATTCGCATATTTTTGTTGTCGCCTGCTTACAATCAGAGTGCCGGTGTTGTCATCCTTCGATGTGTTATGGAGAAAATCTCCCTCTTTCCGGAGATCACAAATTATTTTCAATCGTTCCCTACTCTTTTTAGAAAGTTTCATAGCCATCTTGACACGATGTTCACTTTTGTGTTTTAAAAAGAAATGTCTTGAAATCTTGGTTTGTAACGTTTTACAGAATACGCAAAAGTGTTGCTTTAATTTATGCTTCGATAGGGGAACAATCAATTGACCAACGAAGTCAGTAGTATTAGTGGCATTTGACATTGTGAAATGTTGGCTTGAATCGAAATTTGATTTCGGTACAATGGTTTCGTCTTCTTCTCTTCCTTGGTTAGAATTTACAGAAACTGTTTTTGTGATTCTTTGCAGGACAACATTATTTGTTCCATTCACATCTCTAACTGTCGAATTATTGTGATGATTTTGCCCAATATTTGGAGAATTGTTTTCAATTCCATTGGAGTCGTCAGTGAACCATTCGCTGTAATTAGAGGATATGTCCCACACAAAATCAGATTCGCTTGAGTCCTCAATTGGACTGGGAGCATATAACGACATTTTTTCTTTTAGAACTGGTTTCAAATTTTGTACTGTGTCAACGGCAACTTTTCCGGTAGGATATAACTTGTTACCTGAAGAAATAATTATAAACAAATCAATAAGAAATTATTTCTTACAGTTATATTTTTAAACTAATAAATGGCATGGTAAAATAACGAAAGATAGAAACAAGTTAAAAAGCAGTAAAATCGGCCGGGCCGAACTTTTAGGAGTCCCAACACACATTTTTTTCTCTCATACCATATTCTGTCAAACCATATATTTATTATTATTATTATGTATTATTTAATAATAATAAATAATTTGTATTTGTATGTGTACTGTTTTAAAAATAAAGAAATCGAATTGAATGTATTTCAAATTCTGTTGAAACAAAAGTTCTCCTACGGAGACGTAGGAATTTTGATGAACACTCAATTCATAACCTCAGTTCTTATTTAGACATAAAACCCTATGTTGCTAAGGACTCTAAAAGGCTACGGCATTGGATCAATGCCCAAAAACATTTTTAAAGCAGTCAGCCGAAATTTCTTTATGACACTATTTTTGTAACCAAAGTATTCTATAGAATGAGCGGACAACCTGAAATATTAAGTATCGTTGTATTAATGCGGGATAGTCAAAGAGGACTATACAATTTCTTTATTTTCCTGTTTTCCAAAGGTAGGTGTAGGTGTACTGTGATACGTCCCAAATAGCTCAGGCTATTTAGGCTGGTCAGATACTTGATGTGATTTTATAATGATATTTTCCTGGATTCACTTTCAGACTCTTTCATGGCCCAGATATGAAGGGATTTGAAGGATCCGCTCCCAATGTCGACCAAGAACGGTTCAACAATCCAGAAATCAGTGTCACTGCGGCAATAAGTGCTCAAAAAGATATTGAAATTATTTCAACTACTTTTAATGTAAACGAAGTAAAAGTTTTATAATTTATTCGTAAAATATTTTTTTACCAGTCTCCAATGTTTGGGCTTGTGCTCAGGGGATTTCTTTAACCTACTTAAAAATTATTGTACCATTGACACGTACAAACAATTATTTGTTCCATTTCTTAGGAAGACAATTTTTATTTGTCTTTTCTTGGGCTTAAACATGTAAAAATGGATTAAGGATCAAAACCCCAGAATAATCATCTGAAAATTGTTGCCAAAATCTTTACAATACCTGCTATATCTTTTAAAACGAAAACTTACGCTGACAATTTCCTGTAATGTATCTAATGCAAATTCGATAGAAAATGTGGCATATCAATCTTCTGCCAGTATTATAGTAAAATAAGCCGCAATGTTGTAGAACTTCAAACCCATCCTAGCTGCAGCAAAATAATAATTTGAAGCAAAATTCAACGATTTCATAATCAAGTCTCAAATTACTTATGGGGCTAATGTTAGTTTTCTGGTACTTTTCATTGACGACATTCCAATTGTTTTAACTAATTTTGATATTTGGCAAATACTACATTAACTCTATTGTCACATCATTTTTAAACTCAAGATCCAGGAGAAAGTTCTACTTCACTATTGAACTAGATCTAAACCACACTTTCCAATAGTATATGTGAGTTAAGCCAACTCTTTTACCAATTTTTCGAATGTCGTCTCGTCAGACCATTTCAAAAATTAATATCCGCCCATCATAGAGTTCATTGACATTTTGTGGCCCAGAAGTGTAACATTTTCAAACATTTGAAAACGTAACATTTCTGTACTTTCTATTACAAACAGTCGTAGTGTTCTTCTAGTTTTGTAAAAAGTGAATTTTGTTGCACAGTGTATTAGCCCATTCATAAATTGGTTCTTAATAAATCAGCTGTTTTTTTGATTTTGTTTACCATCATTGCAGAGCGCCAAGAAGTTAAACTTACGTTGTGTGTCCACAAAAATGCTTCTTGATACACATATACATAAATGTTATATTTCTAAAGCTTCCCCAATTGACTTTGTGTAACGATTTTGAACTTATTCGATCATAGAATTGCAATTCCAATCAATTAATTCGAATGAAGATGCCGAACAGGTACGATTAAATCAAAGCCAATTAAAAGACATTGACGGCTTCAGCAGAAAGCTTTCGTGTGTCCAAGATACAATCAATAGGTATTTCAAAGCTGCCTTCTGAGGATCTTTAGGTGTAAGTACATAAGGAGGTTGAAGTCATGGCTAGGCATATTTTGTGACATTTCTTTAAGGGATTACAGAGCTGTTCTAAAATCCTACCGTCCTTTTCCATTATAATTTGACATTAATATACCTAGTGATGACCTCAAGCTTTTTATGTACTTGCACCCATGGTAGAAAAATACAGGTAGATGCATCAACGCTTGGTGTAAATTGGGATCAATTAAAAAGACCAAACGTCTTTTCCGTTTTGAGCGTTTGTAAGACACTGAATTTATTTATTAAAAACATTTCTTAAGAACTAGTTGTGATAATATGACTTAACCTAAATTATAATTAAGTGTAAATAAGAGAGAGAGAGAGAGAGAGATAGATACCAACCGTACACATGCATATGCACCATGCCACCATTAATCTTAGGGGGAGGTCATACACACGCATAGCTATCTCACATGTGACAAGCAAACATGTTGCACTTGCTTATCAGTCTGAGTAAAGATTACATCCCATAATCTAACTCCACCATAACACATGCAGCAATTGAAAATTCTGTATTATTTATTTCTAACTCGAAGGTCTGCTCACCACATTTTCTTATCTTATTTCATGCGGACTGTATTAAGAAGATCCCAGTTTAACAAATCCCTCTCATCTACACTAGGTAGCCCCGCTATTCTCTTTTATTATAAAAACATGTTCACTTATCCGTGAACATTCTTGGCAGGGGCAAAAATATATATAAAATATAAAAATTACAAATATGAACAATAAAATAGATCTAATAGAAGTGACATTTTGAGAGAAAAGAAGTTAAGTTATAGCACCCAAGTAACTCCTCCATCTTTCCAGCCTGGCTCTCTTGAACATCCCTCCTCCTTTATCTGCCGGCTTCAATTTCCAGGCTGAATCCATTTTATGTGTTGTTTTCTTTCTGTGACCAAAGTTCTCATCCTTCTCTGGCAGCGCCATCTTACCGACTTTGGACAGTTTATCGTTCCAGTGTTCATAATTTTCTGTCACTCCGGCTTGTATTTTATTCGCTGCACCACTTCCACTAGACATCTTCATCACAACTTGACCGTCTTCCAGCATCTTATTATTCCAGCGACGCAGATTGTTTTTCTTCTTAGTTTTCATCTCGCTGTCAAATAGCTTATCTTCGACGTCTTCCAATCTCCCTGTGTCCAGTTTTCCAGGGAGCTGTTCATCTACCTTTTCCAAAGTTGATTCTCTTTCGGCAATTGGGTCTTCCATATAAACCTCTTCAACCATAATTTCTTCGTTGATATTGACCACTAATTTTGCAGCCAATTCATCAGCCTCGATTTTGGATGCTTTCTGCGATATGAGCAACTCTTCCTTAAGTTGCAATATTTCAGCCTCCAGCAGAAATATCCTTCTTTCTTTTTCTTCACCAGCTTCTAGATTTGCAGCCAACCCGTCACGTTCGGTTGCAGCTGCAAGTCGTCCTCTTTTTGCACAAGACAACTCATCACTAAGTTGTCTTATTACCGCCTTCAACGCCTTGCCCTCGCGTTCTGCCTCCTGTTTAGCCGCTCGTAATTTGTCCTTGGTATTCTCGGTAACACACACAGCATTTTCGACTTCCTCCTTCAATTTGGAGACAAGTTTGAGGGCATCTTCTTTTTCATCTTTCTGTGAAATCAAATCAAACTCCATTTCCTTAATATCACCTTCCATTTTTCTCATTGCGGCTACCGCTGCTTCGCGCCCCTCTCGCTCGACGTCCAATTTGGATGTTATGCAGGCCACTTGTTTCTTCAAGCCAAGGACTTTCTCTTTGGCCTCCACATTAAGAGCCTGCGTGACTTTAAAGATGATCTTAACATCTTCCAAATACAGCTTCGCTGTCCCATTCGGCTGACTTGCTCTGATAGCAGCGGCTAGTTTCGACTTCTTTAGAAGCATCTCTAAAAACCGCCTTTGAACGTCTGGATACAATATTATGTCTCTTGCCGCGTCCATAATTTTTTCTTTGGCGAAGTCAAATACGCCTTCTATGGCTTCTTCCGTCTTGAAGGTACTCATTATTTCCATAATTGTACCCATCATTTCGAGAAGAGTGGCAGCCTCTTCCTTTATTTTCATCATTGCCGGCCGTTTCACCGATTCGTCCTCCTGGGCATATGCATCACCCCTTCTTTCTGAAGATTTCAAATATGAAGCCCCCTCGGTGTGCACCGCCACCACAGTCTTCTGTGCTGAAGTCTCCTTCTGACTCAGCATCCTTTTATTTGGCTTATAAATTTCTTCTGTATGGGAACAATTCCAGCTGTAGTTTTAGCTCGGTAATTTTCCACTCTTGAAGACCAATTTTAGCCTGATAGAATTTCCTCGATGTTAAGGCAAATTCTTCAACATTTATTCTACCGATCCGGCTCGGTGGACCAATGTAAATTGGGATCAATTAAAAAGACCAAACGTCTTTTCCGTTTTGAGCGTTTGTAAGACACTGAATTTATTTATTAAAAACATTTCTTAAGAACTAGTTGTGATAATATGACTTAACCTAAATTATAATTAAGTGTAAATAAGAGAGAGAGAGAGAGAGAGATAGATACCAACCGTACACATGCATATGCACCATGCCACCATTAATCTTAGGGGGAGGTCATACACACGCATAGCTATCTCACATGTGACAAGCAAACATGTTGCACTTGCTTATCAGTCTGAGTAAAGATTACATCCCATAATCTAACTCCACCATAACACATGCAGCAATTGAAAATTCTGTATTATTTATTTCTAACTCGAAGGTCTGCTCACCACATTTTCTTATCTTATTTCATGCGGACTGTATTAAGAAGATCCCAGTTTAACAAATCCCTCTCATCTACACTAGGTAGCCCCGCTATTCTCTTTTATTATAAAAACATGTTCACTTATCCGTGAACACTTGGGAACATTGATATTTCAAAATATTTTAAACGTTTTTCAAATAGATAGTAGATTTTTATATGTTTTCTCATACGACGTCATTCGGAGGTTATTATAATAAGCGTTTTTCAACAATTTTTACAAATTTAAATAATTTTTCATTCAACATTTTCAATTCCAAAATTGGTTTGACAGTTCATTGTCCCAGCAGCTGAGTCGATGCTTCTACCTATATTCTTCTACAATGCTTGCACTACGATAACCGACTTTCCCTTTATGGCATCAAAAAAATTTGCGAAATTTGTAGATTCTTGTAGGTTCTGGAATAGAACAAAAGTGCTTTTTAACTGGCTTATCTCATCGCCTGGCTTCTACGTTAAGGTGAGAATGCTTAAAACGCTTTCTTGAATGGCTTAAGTCATCGGTTGCCTTCTTCGGAAAATAATAGAGGAGCGAAGAGCCAAAATCGAACTAAGCCTAAAACTCCCTTGTTTCCCTACGAAGAAGCCAGCCGATGACCTAAGTCAGTCAGAATAGCCGTTTACGTAACAGAGCAAAGGAGTTTTGGGTTGACTTCGTTCAATTCAGAACCATAAATTGTACCTGCTCACCCTACACTCCTTTTTTCTTTTACAAAAAAGGCTGTCCATGACATAAGCCTTGCTGATTTTTAAAATGTGTTAAAAACGCGAAAGATGAATTTACCTACTGCATTTTTTTTAAATATACGATCCAAACCGTTTAGTAATTAAATTCAGTGGCAAAACTCGTTAAATTATTATATATATAATGCCCCATCCGCAATTTAAGATTCTTCTTTGGAAAGTCATTTCAAATAAGCTTTCTATTCTTAGCATTTTCTGTATTTTACCTTGTCAAATTTCACTGCATAGAATGCAGGTTCCCATCTCTGATTTCTGAATGAACAATGGATTTATAAATAAACATTTTGACAATGAGATGTTGTCAAATGTATAAATTAAAAACAATTGTAAACATATGATTGGCATCTTAGTTCTACTATGAAATAGCTTAGACACCTATTTCTGAGATAATAAAGCTCGAAAGACTTCTACCATGGTTTATCCAGCTCTTCACTACATTAAATTGTTAATTATCTTTCGTTTGGGTGTAGTGTCAAAAATGTTTAGCGTTTACTGAGGGAAATAATCGACCTAATGTGTATGTGGTAGTAAAATTCCACTCCAATTTAACGCAGTGTACCACGCATAACTCATTAAAGCTATAACAGTGGAAGCATAAATGCAATTTACTAGTTTTACGACGCTTATAAACAACAATTAAGCCTTCATAGCTTTGATATAAATTTTGATTACGGAGCATGGTAAAAGAAATCCGGCAGAGGCATCAACACTCGGGAACATTGATACGTCAATTTTTTCTTAATTTTCTTTAAAAATAAGTAGATTGGTATATGTTTTCCTTTACGACGCCAGTAGGAGGTTGGACATTTTTTTTAATCATTTTTACAAATTTGAATAATTTCTTCTTCAAAAGTGTAAATTCCAAAATTATTTTGAAAGTTCATTGTCCCAGTAGCTGTGTCGATGCGACTAGCTGTATTCTTCTTCTTCTACTGTCAAACCGATTCTGTAATTGATAATTTTGAATGAAGAATTATTTAAATTCGTTAACACTGCTGAAAAACGCTTATTATAACAACCTCCGACTGGCGTCGTATTAGAAAACATCTTAAAATCTACTTATTTTTGAACAAAAGAAAACATTTTAAATTTTTGACATATCAATGTTCCCATGGTAGAAAAATACAGGCAGATGCGTCAATGGAACATTGATACGTCAAAAAATTTTAAATGTCTTTTCAACTATAAGTAGATTTTCATATGTTTTCTTTTACGACGTCATTCGCAGATTATAATAATAAGCGTTTTTCAACAATTTTTACAAATTTAAATAATTTTTCATTCAATATTTTCAATTCCAAAATTGGTTTGACAGTTCATTGTCCAGCAGCTATGTCCATGCGTCTACCTATATTCTTCTACCATGAATGTTCCCGACCATGGTAGAAGAATATAGGTAGACGCGTCGAAACAGCTGCTGGGACAATGAACTGTCAAACCAATTTTGGAATTGAAAATGCTGAATGAAAAATTGTTTAAATTTTGTAAAAATTGTTGAAAAACGAGAATTATAATAACCTCCTTATGACGTAGTATAAGAAAACATATAAAAATCCACTTATATTTGAAAAAACATTTACATTTTTTGACATATCAATGCTCCAAAGCGTTGATGCATCTACCTGCATTCTTCTGCCATGTTCCCGACCGTTGATGCATCTACCTATATTCCTCTACCATGAGTTAATCGTAATAATTGACCTGACACAATATACTTGTTTATGTTAACGTGCTATCAATCTGTAAAAACAAAACGTAACGCAATCACTGTGGTGAGTTTGTTCAAAACGAATTTCACTAATTGCATACGTACCTGAAATCGTTTGAGCACTTGAGAATATATCGAGTAGTCAGATAACCAATAACCTAGTACTTGTTACCTCCATTCTGTCATTTGCCAAAAAAAGAAAGAATAATAATTGCAAATTTAATTCTATTAAACCTGTGATCATTTCCTTATTATTTCGTTTCAAATGTTCTAAATACACAGGACGCAAATGATTTTCAGAGATTCATGAATACATCATTGCTTGTTTTCGTTTTGTTTGCCGATTTACAAATAAAATAATACAATTAAATACGGTCGGGTGTGTGAAGAGGAGTCAGTTCATGTGAATATTGCAAAATAAAGATGCAGAAATCATTTTAAGTGCTCGCTGTGTTTTTGTATCGTTCGTTGTTGACTCCTTCTCATGGTTAATTCCTAAATCTTCTTTGAAAACGGATAGAATAAGAAGAAAGCCACAAGTACGTGTCGAAAAAAAAAACAAACAAAATCTGTGTAGAATTAAATAAAGGCATAGTGACGATTGCAACAACAAACACTACTCAAATAACTGCACACAAGCTCGGCATTTAGCCAAAAAAGTTAGAAACCAGAACATTAAACTCTTGTTTAAATATCAACAAAAAAAAGCAGACGGGTCATATTTGTAGCAATGACATCCACAACAAATTCAACAACATCGTCTGGAGGTGGTAGCGAATCGAGCAATGAGACGACACCGTTAGAATCCTCCTCGTCGTCATCATCAACATCCTCGACGGCATCAGCGTCTGTGCCAAATAATATTGAATTGGAGTACAATAAAATATCAAAAGATCGCAACGGTTGGCAACGTCTATACCAGGTAAGCATGTAACTCCTCCATCCAGTGATAAAGTACGTACCTTGAAATATATTACTTGTACTGACAACACATACCGATTATTACGGAACGACAAACACATTGAAGCCCACGAGCATTTTTTAAGGAATTTTGTTCAATGTATGGGTACATGGACAAAAAAAGTTTTCTAACGAAAATTAAATACTGACCTCCATGCAAACTACCAACCACTCTTCTCGTTAGTTGGACTAAGTAATTCATTGAATTGCTGTTGTTTTGCTTTAGTTATGTTGCCTTGCTGGGATTTCTATGTAGTGTGTGAAATCCAACGTGAATAGGTATGCGTATGTGTGTGCGTGTAAGTGTATGCTTGCTCCTTTCGTTTTAAAAATAAATTCTACGAAACCCTGATGAATTCACAAGAATATATCAGTCAACTATGCACCTTTATTTTCAGAACAAGGAAAATAATGAAATAAAAATATCATACTATCATTCTCTCGTGTTATGTATCCTTGAGGTGTTAACGTCTAGAAATCATAATTTCAACCTGATCAAGTGGCTGGTATTGATTCTATATGAACATTAAAAGGTTGTTCCAGAACCTGTAAGAATTTACTAGTTTTGCAATTTTTTCGATATCATAAAGGAAAAATTCGTTATCGTAGTAAAAACTTTTACATTCTTGCAGTACTGGACCATAAGGTAGTCGAAAATTATTTTTACATTTAAAATATTTTTGTCTTAATATGTAATCCACCATATGTTCAGTATCTCGTTCCATCTGTAGCTCCTTCATCAGCATACAATTTTATGTCGATTTAGCAATGTCCGTCTGTTTGTCAAAATTATTCTAGATTTTGAAAGGAATGAAGTAAGTTCTCAAATGTATTTTAGGCCCGCGATTCGGTTTAAGATATTTTAGTTGGTTCCGTCATATTTTATAGCTAGATTTGTTGTGAATTAGAAGTCTGTGTTTCCAGTGGGCTGAAAACATCATTGTATATAGACGCTATGTAACGACAACTCCTAACACTCGGTAGTTGACCACATTTTTCTACAGAAATTTCTCAAATGTGGTGCCTATTTGGAGTTCGAAAAAGGTATCATGTTTTCGGAATTTTGTTGCTTTAAACCGCATTTTCAATATAATTTTATAGAAGCTACAATCCTCTACTATAACTCAACGTTTTCGTATAGCTCTCATATAATTGATCCTCTCCATAATCGGTATTTAAATTATTTTATTTTTCAACGGATTTTTTTTTCTATTTTATGGGATTTTGAAAACTTTTACCGCAATCTTCAACCGACTGGCAAATATTAAACTCGATCTAATATAAAATCCGGATACTTTTACTTTCAAATATTTTCTTTATCTCATGGTGGAGGGTACTAAAAGTTCTGCCAAGCTGAATTAACCCTTCTTTACCTGTTTCAAGTTATGGATGTGTATTTTTGTGTATTTGAGTTTCTTATGCATCAAAATGCACTCGTAATAGCTGGAAAAAACGAAAAAATAGTGGCGACGTCAAATTTTAAAAGGCCCTTCATTATTTTAAAATTAACCATATTCGACATTTCAATCCCGGAAAGATATAATTAGCATTTCTATTCTGGTCCCCCAGTTCGTTTCGAGTAAATCCGAAACGTTGTCCTAAATGTGGACAGCAATTATTACCTGTGCGATCCGAGCATAGGCACTAAACTACACAATTCCTTTTTCTATTGTCAAAGTGCCTAGAGTCGGTCATCGCCGCACTAATAAACAGTGTGACTAGGGCCTTCCAAGCAAACTAAACAATTGATCTCTGGTGTTTTATGAGTACTATTCCAGAGACTAGACATTTACTTAAATCCTTTAGAAGCCACTTATGGCTCATATCTAAACTCGGATCGATATTGACAATTTTTGTATGACGAACATAATTCAGTTCAGATAGGATTTGATATGTAAAATCATGAAATACCGCTACATGGAAACTACATCAAGAAAACCCCTGAATCAGAAGTTGTCGTTATGTGTGGCCCATACTTTATAGTGACATTCATTAATTTCAAAAAACTGAACATTTTCCAGACTATAGCTAAGCCTGAGTTTATACATAATAAAAAGGACACAGAGTGTACAATCGGCCAATAAAACCATCACACGCTGCCCGAATATTGCTCTGTGGTATTTCGGCCCATTCCCGGCGAAGCGCTTGCTTGAGGTGATCGACACTTTGGTATTTTTAGTGCCGAATGAAATATTGCGATATGTTCAGCTCACGAGCCATTCTTTCGTCCACTTCCTTGACGTCGGGCTGCGCTACCAGTATCACGGTAACGAGCGATGGTACGAGACGCAAAAAAATTATTCACTTTAAATGCTGGAGTGGTGGCTGGTTTTCCAGCCAAATATAAAGAAGTCACACTATCACGTTTGAATTCCACGACGAATTTTTTTCTGGAAAATTCTCACCAAAATACTTTTGTACGCTTGTAAATATATAATGAGCTGTCAAACGCTTGGCTTAGACATGACAGCAGTCTGAAGTTGGTTGCTGTTTTTTCATCTCACCCTATATACACAATGAAAAACATAATTTATTCTAACCTCCTTGCCGACAGCAAATGTTAAATAAGAAAAGACTAAGAATTAATGTAATAACAGTGGCTGAGGGTTTGCGTGGTGTGCCAATCCCCCAATCAGAATTTCAGTCTAAAAGCGCTATAAGCTAGCCATCAACTCTAAATCATGTGCTTTATATTTCATAGTTGTTGCTTAAAATTATTCACTTTTTTGTTATTGTATTTGTACTATCGATTTTAAAGAAATAACCATATTTTACAAACAAATTAAAATTATCTGTAGTACATTTAAAGCAAGTCTAACATTTTAACCCTAAGAAAAATTTAACAAGTTAAAAAGCAGTAGGTTCGGCCGGGCCGAACTTTGAATACCCTCCACCATTTGGAATGAATTTGAGATAAAATCCTTAAAAAAATTGGTAACATTTTAAAAATACCGAATATGAACCGAAGACGTGGACCTGCAAAGATAATTGTCTGTCTTAGGCTGTAGTATTTTCCATTTCGAACTTTAAATACCAAATTTGAAACAATTCCGGTGAATAATGGCGCTAAAATCATCAAAATACCGAATATCGGGAGGTACCGTTATATGGGGGCTATACGAAGACGTGGACCTGCACAGATGATTTTCTGTCTTAGGCTGTAGTATCCATTTCGAACTTCAAATACCAAATTTCAAACAATTCCGGTGAATAATGTCGCTAAAATCATCGAAATACCGAATATCGGAAGGTACCGTTATATGGGGGCTATATGAAAACGTCGATCTACATGGCCCATTTACGAACTTAACCTGTCTACTGGAAAAATTAACATGTGTGCAAAATTTTAGCCCTCTATCTCGATTCCTTCGGTGATTACAACAGAGAGACATCCCTAAATCGACTTAGAATTTTACGCTGATCAAGAATATATACTTTGTTGGGTCTCACGTGAGTATTCCGAGGAGTTACAAACGGAATAACAAAGTTAATATACCCTCCATAGTATGGTGGAGGGTATAAAAACGATCGCATCATTTATGACTATCTTAAGATACACTCCAGCCTAACTGAACATAATGTTGTATGCACCAGATACATCGTTCATGTTTAACAACATTGTGTGTTGTTACAATTCATGCGTGATTGTACGGTGAAAACTGTTAATGATGTTACATGTTTTATTTCCATTTGGCATGGCTATGCATTCATCAACTTGACGAATTATATTAATTTAATTTTTAAATTAGTTTACAAACTTATTTGTGAAATGCAGCTACATTTTGGTTATTCATTTCAAAGCCAAGCCAAATGAAATTTTCTATTTTTATGTATTTAAACGGTAAGAATCTGAATGATGGATTACTCCGATTTCCATACCTTCCACCATACTATAGAGGGAGGGTATATTAACTGGGTCATTCCGCTTGTAACTCCTCGATATTATCACACACACTAAAAAGTGTGTATATACTTGATCGGTGCTAAATTTTAAGTCGATTTCCGTCGCAATGTCAATCTTTATTCATGATATTCGAACGAGTGCCGATAAAAGACTACAATTTTTTCACATGTGTATTTTGTCATTAGGTGGGCCAAGATCGTAATAACGGTACTTCCCCGTAATTAGTATTTTGACAATTTAGGCCACATTTCTTTTCAAATATGGTATTTAGAGTTCGTAATAGATTCTAGCTCCTCTGTCAGAACATTGTCTATGTTGGTCTACGTTTTTCCATAGACCTCCCCCCCAATGGTACCTCCAGGCTTCATTATTTCGGTGGTCTTAGCTGCGCTTCTTAACGGAAGTGTTTCCAATTTGGTTTTTGGTTTTCGCAATAGACACCAATCACTGTAGCATGTTTTCCTATAGCCCCCATATTTCTGTTTCTTTACAATATTCGGTAATTTAATGATATAAGACACATTTTCCAAATGATTTGTGTACATATCTGCATTTATCTTTTAGATTAGATGAATATTTAATGTTCATGATACAGGGTGAGATAACAAAAAATGTTACCATCTTCAAACTGCTGTCATTTCTAAGCCACTCATCCGACAGCTGTTAGAATTATCCCAGTGACAGCTCATTATATTGTTTACAAACTTACAAAAGCATTTTAGTGAGAATTTTCCAGAAAAAAAGTTATTCGTAATGGAATTCAAGTGTGATAGTGTGATTTCTTTATATTTGGCTGGAAAACCACAAGTGCTTATCGTTAGAGCACTCCAGCATTTAAATGTGAATGTTTCTTTTGTGTCCATCGCTCGGTGGCGTAGCCCGACGTCAAGGAAGTGGACGAAAAAAAAACATCAACATCAGCAGAAATGGTTCGGAAAGTAAAGAAGCGACTTGATCGAAACCCGCGTCGCTGTGACCGAAAAATGGCTCGTTAGCTGAACATATCGCAATATTCCATTCGGCAAATATTGAAAAATGAGCTCGGGGTAACACCACTGAGCGCAAGATCTTACACCACACATTAAAGAAAATAATCTCGAAAGAGCTAAAGAGTTGTTTCGCTTGGCCGAAAGTGGTGAACTGCCGAATTTGGTTTTCTCCGATGAGAAAACATTCGTTGTCCAGCAGTCTGCAAACAAATAAAATTATCGTGTATACTTGCCAAAGAGGTCAGCTGAAAATGTACACCTTCGGTTGGCCACCAGAACTCAAGCGCCTGCCATGGTGATGATGTGGGCCGCCATAACAGCCGATGGTTGCTCTCCGCTCGTATTAATCAACCGTGGCATTAGAATAAATGCGGAATATTATCGCGAAAATATTCTGGAGGGTGTATTAAAGCCTTGGGCAGGCAAACATTTTGGCCGCAGACCTTGGACATTTCAACAGGACTCAGCACCATCGCACTCAGAACGCGCCAAACAAAAATGGTTACAAAATGAGGTTCCTCGCTTCAATTTCAGTGCACAATGGCCACCAAAATCTCCGGATACCAATCCGTTGGACTATTGTATGTGGAGTATTTTGGAGCAAGCAAGGTTGGCACCAAAGTGTCGATCACCTTAAGCAAGCGCTTCGCCGGAAATGGGCCAAAATACCGCAGAGCAACAATCGGTTTTATTGGCCGTTTGATTGCCATAATTCGTGCCAAAGGTGACCAATTCCAACAAATCTAAACTTATTCTAAAATGTGGTGCTATTTCCGACATGTTTTGCTTTCATTCAATGAAATTAAAAAATGTAAAAGTTGTGGCGTTTGACTTTGTTGCAGTTTTTTTTATCTCACCCTGTAGATACAATAGATGCAAATATGAACTGAGACGGCTGCAAACATCGCTAACGTAGTGGGAGCAAAACCATCCAGTTTTTTTTTTCCTGATATTCGTTTTTTTATTAACCATATTAAAATTTGACCAAACCTCAATTTCGGATATTCGACCGGCAGGTATATAACGAACGGCCGTAGCTCCGATGATGTTTCGGAAAATCGCTTCTGCTAACCGAACATCAGGAGGGTTGGGCCGTTCTCTGAAGTTATGGTTGGTAAACTTTCTGAATTCTGGCCAGTGAGCTTTCCCATGGTTGAGGAAAGTGCGGCGTTTAGAGGTTATGGAATCGGACGATCTACTGTAACCATAAAACGTTGCAAGCTGCAATTTTTATTGAGCTAGGTTTCTTGGATTGCAGCGACTAAAATATACCTCCGATTCATAAATTCCTCAATCTCATCTATTTTGTCCCGCCACTGAAGCCAGGCAAGGTGCAGCAAAGGCGAATTATACAAGCCAATTTCGCTTTTGTCGCCAGTTGCAAAGTCGTACGTTCCAGTCGTACGTGGAAATTCAGAACAAGAAGTGCAAATTCTGTAAAGTGAAACAGGGAGTTCCCCAAGGTGGGGTGACATCACCGGAACTGTTTAGAGAGAGGGCATATAGATCGTTACGAATGCGCTTGATTGTACGATCATGGCGCCGGCCTCCGGTGTTGATGACATGTGTGTAAGGTTGAACAGCTATCTCGCGGAGCTTGCCGCCTACTTCCACGCGAGGAATATAAAAATATCCGCCACGAAATCAGTGTTGCCGTTGTCTCTTATTCTGCGGTGATGACAACAGTGCTGAATGTGCAGGTCGAGGGAAATATAATACAGACCACGAGCTACCTCAAGATCCTAGGGGCCACATTCGACGGCATGTTCAAGTCGTCCGCGCAAGCCACAACTATCTGCGACAAAGTGAAAAGTAGGCGCTAGCCAGCAGCACTTAGGCTGCCGACAAGGTGACTTTGTTAACCTCTTATAACGCGATAGATCGGCCTGTGGTCAGCTATGCGGCATCAGTGTGGTCTGGAATATAAGTGCTACGCAGTGGAAGAATATCTAGATCTGCCAAAATGCTGCATTGAGAACTGCCACAGGTTGCCTCCCCATGAAACCAGTGGACCATCTACATTAGGAGGCTAATGTAGTTCCCGTACGTCAGCATAATCATATGCTTTCGTTGCAGTATCTGCATCAAACACTACCCCAGCGTGTCAGGAAGGACATACATGATCCTAGAGAGGAAGGTCCAACGCTACAAGAGAGAGCCTTTAGATCAAGAAGCGTATCAGGCTGGTCTGTGTTGGATTCATACCAGGGTTGGGCATATTGCACTAAATTTTTAGTGCACTAAGAATTAAATAATTAGTGGCAGTGCAATTTTTAATTCCACTACCACTAAAGGGTTAGTGGTAGTGAAAAATAAATTGCACTACCACTAACAATTTAGTGATAAAAAAATGCACTACCACTAAATTTTAGTGGTAGTGAAATTTTAATAGCACTACCACTAAATTTAGTGATTTTTTAAAAAAATTTGCACTACCACTAATTTTTTGCGATGCAAAAAAAAAAACACTATGTATATAAGTATTATACCAGCTATCATGAAGTTTATTGGAGTAGGGGACAACAATCCAGAATATGTAGTACATAATTATAGAATTTGATTATTTTTCTAAATAGCACTAATTTAGTGCTATTTTTTATGAAATACCACTAATTCAGTGCAATGGTTTTTAAATACCTCCAAATTTAGTGGTAGTGCTATTGAAATTTCACAACACAGTTTAGTGGTAAATGAACAGTGATCGTGATCTAAATGAACAGTGATCGTGAAATAATTCGTGCACTAAAGATACAGTGCATTATGCCCATCTCTGATTCATACGGAAGAAAACTTAGTGAGTGAACACTCCAGAAGACCCTTGGCTACAGTCCAGTAAGGTAGCCGAATTTTTGAACCTGGAGTTAGAACCAGATTTGCAGAACCCAAACATAACATGTGTAACTGTTACAACAACAAGCAAACCATCATACAAATTATCAATAAAATTGAAGTTTTTAACTTAAAATTATTAACAAAGGCTCACTCGTGGTACAATTACAGAAGGTAGAACAAAGCTACCTCATAAATACATTTTTATATCCTCCACCATTGTATGAATGGTATATTAAGTTTGTCATTCCGTTTGTAACACCTCGAAATATACATTTTAGACCCCACAAAGTATATATTCTTGTTCAGCATAAAATTGTATGTCGATTTAGCGATGTCCGTCCATCTGTCCGACTGTGAAAATCACTATAGCTTCCGAACGAAATGAAGTAGGTTAATAAAATTTTACTCAAATGTGTATTATGTCTGCAGGACTTTTGGTATTGAAAATGGTTAATGTAGGTCCACGTTTTGGTATAGCCCCCATATAATGGTACCTCCTTTTTTCTGTATTTTAGCAATTTAAGCGATTTATTCGCCGGAAATGTTTCAAACTTGGAATTTGAAGTTCGTGATGGGTACTACAGCCTATGACAGAAAATTGTCTGTGCAAGTCCACGTCTTCATATAGCCCCCATATAACGGTGCCTACCGATGTTCGGTACTTTGATGATTTTAGCGACATTATTCACCGGAATTGTTTCAAATTAGGTATTTGATGTTCGTAATGGATGCTACAGCCTATGACAGAAAATTGTCTGTGCAGGTCCACGTCTTCATATATCCCAAATATAACGGTACCTCCCTATATTCGGAATTTTAAGGATTTTAGCTCATTATTCACCGAATTTTGTTATTCAAGTTTTGCATTTGAATATGGTAATGGTTTATGAAAAAAGTTGCCTATTCAGGTCCTCGTTGTCGTATAGACCCTAATATAACGGTATTTTTAAGATTTTAGTAGAATTTTTAACGGATTTTATTCTTTTTGAAAATTGCCAAAATCGTCCCAAATGGTGCAGGGTATTCAAAAATCAGCCCGGCCGAACTTACAGCTTTTTTACTTGTTTTTCTTTTGGTGCCCCTATTCTGTCAAAACATATACACAGCATGTGTGTATTGTTTTAAATTAAAAAGAAAATAATTTTTTTTTTCAAATTTAGATGTAACAAGTTTGTGGAGAAAACCCAATATTTCATTTCTCCAATATAGTAATTTTGTGAAAAAAGTAAACAAAGCCAATTATTGAAAGTTTAAAAATATATTTGACATTATAAGACTCGGGTACAGAGTTGCATTTTCCATGTTTCTTCCAAGTTGAGCAACCTTTCTTTTTGAGCCATGGGTTCACTATTCCATTTGAAGACATATGACAGACGATGACAACATTATTTTTCAATTGTTTTTTTTTTCTTTCATACAAAAATACTTAAATGCTAATATGTATAAATTTTTTACATGTCCAGGAAATTCGCGAAAGATGTGAACGAGAAGCAAATGAAAAACATTTTTGCACCAGTGAATCAGAAAAATCACACAATCGTTGCTTAAACAGATATCGCGATGTTAATCCCTATGATCATTCACGAATTATATTACATAGAGGCAGTGTGGATTATATCAACGCAAACTTGGTTAAGGTAAAGAACTACTTCATAAACAAATGCCAATAAACATAATAACTTATAACTTCATTCTTATGTACACAGATGGGAAGAGCAGAACGAAAATATATCTTAACACAGGGACCCCTAGTGGGTACAATTGGACATTTTTGGTTAATGGTTTGGGAACAAAAATCTCGGGCTATTCTAATGCTAAACAAATTAATGGAAAAGAAACAGCCAAAATGTCATTTGTATTGGCCGGAGCGCAAGGGGCCGGAAAATGCATTGAAATTGAACGAAGTAAAACTAACCGTGGAGTTTTTACATTGGACGGAGTACAAAAATTTTTGTGTTCGATGGTTCAAGTGAGACCTGCCTTTAAATGTTCAACCGCTCTTGTATTTAATTAATTGGTGGTTATCTCTTTTAGATTGACTGATCTACAATCGAATCAAAGTCGAAATATTATACAATTCCATTATACAACATGGCCCGATTTCGGTGTGCCAAGTTCACCTGTTGCTTTTTTATATTTCCTTAAAGAGGTACGTGCTTCAGGAGCCTTAGATCCCAACGAAGGACCTGCAGTTGTGCATTGCAGTGCTGGTATAGGTCGTTCGGGTACATTCTGTTTAGTTGACTGCTGTCTGGTGTTGGTAAGTGTGTACATGAGGATGCCAATGAGCAGTACATGCAATTGAAATGCTACTTTTAAATCCAGGTTGACAAAGAGGGTGTAAATAATGTTTCTGTGCAAGATGTTTTGTATGAATTGCGAAGGTATCGCATGGGATTGATACAAACCGCCGACCAATTGTATTTTTCATATCAGGCCATTATTGAAGGCATTAAACTACTTAAAGATCAGGTATGTATGAATGTATTTCTGCTCTCATGTCCATTTCAACATTTCAATTATTTGTACTTTTTAAGAACTTTATGAATTATAATGAAGTGGTGTACAATTCAGTAGAAGATCATTGCCAACAAAATGACGAATACAATTTGGATGAAACTCCACCGCCTTTACCACCGCGTACTCATTCACTTCTACCTATGGCTGGTAGTGGGGCCGATGGGTCTCTACGTTTGAACTTAATGGGTAATAATTCTCAAAACAAACCTTTGCCCAAAATACCGGCCAGTGTTAGTTTCAATGATGACTTGTATGCGCCCGATAATGACAAAACCAACAAGGATGCTTTGAACAATTTCATTAATAGTGAAAGAAACACAGATGCTACAAATATGACACATCGGCCCCTACCCCCACTGCCCAGAGAGAATTCATTAGATCGTGTACATGAATCGGATAGTGATGAAAACGAATACGATGAGGATGACAGAAATGATGAAAACGACAATGAAGACCACATTGTTGCTGAAGCAGAGGCAAATGAAAATGGGACTGCAACAAAACATAATCATAGCAAATCGCTGGAAAATGAAAATAAAGACCAAGATTCTAAGAAACTAAATGGTGTAGAGTCGACAGACCCAGTGAGGTAATATAACACAGCATTTCCGGCCGTGTTATGAGTTTTTTTTTACTAATTTTTTATATTATTTTGCTTTCTTGTAGTCCCGATAACGAATTGAGACGTCGCAAACGAGCCGAACGTCAAGCAAACATCGAGCAAAAAGTAAATGAAATCAAAAGAAAACAGAGAGAAAACGAGGAGAACAAACAAACGGCGAAGAAACGAAGGTCAATAATTACTTATATAACAGCAGGTGTTGTTGTGGGTGTTATCTGTGTTTATGTCTATTCGAAATGGGCCTAGATCTTTAATTCCATAAATATTACCCACGTAATATGTTCTTTCCCAGAGTCCTTGCTCCATTTTGCATAGATCGCATTGTCGATGTAAGTGGGCATACAATAAGGAAGTGTTGTGCCCAAACGAGCCAACACACACACCATTGGGAAGAATATAGAGTGAGAATATGGTAACGAACAATAAATTAAAAGAGAAAACACTTTTTGTTTTGCCACCTATTATTAATAACATCGACTAAATGAATTTTTCTACTTCTATTTAAATTATGGAAACTGAACAACAAAACATATTATTAATATTTACTTGTAAAAACTAAGTTTTTGCAATTAGAACTTTTATTATATCATATAACTTAGAGGAACGCACATAGAGAAACAAAACCATATAAAACATATATAGACACAGACGCTGCAGGATAACACTTGTAAGAAGCACACACACACACAAGCATTGTTTTCCATTTTATCATGATTTCTTTCAAATAAATTTGATTGTTGCAATTTTTACTACAATCGTATGGGCATTAAATTGGGCGTGTTTTACACATACATACACATACACAAAACTTCAAAATTGTTAATATATTATTTTTGAATTGTAAAGAAACCATGTTGCTAAATATTAGTTTTATTGAGGTATTCTTTTTTTAAGCTTTGTAAACAAATTTTTTAATGAACTCATATTTTGACATTGTTTTGTTCCATACATTGAATAATCATAGTTCAGCATAAAAATGTGAGCTTAACAAATAAAACACGCCTCATGTTGATCGATCCCATGTCATTATTTATTTGTCCGGAATGTAGGAAAGTACGCAAAGCGTTGCATTTTGTTTACAGATTAATTTAATATACATATCGGTCTATAAGTACATACAAATATATTATTTTTATAAAAGATGATACGTTTAACAAAGAACAAAAGTTTAAATTATTATTCTATAATGGCGACGAATACAATTTTTACTTTCGCATATATACAAAAACAAAAACGGCGACGTTCACTTTTCTCTCGCTAATCAACGTGTCACAATAGAGTGTCACATACTTTATAATACTTTATATCTTATTTTTGGATATTTACATCTTGATATTGATCTGCAACAGACTGATAAATCGTGAATATAACCAAAAAGTGTGTGTGAGAGAGAGAGAGAAAGAGTTATTACATTTACTATCTCAAGTACGTATTTCTATATAGCAAATTAATTTAATTGGTTAGCAAAAGTTGGAACAATTTTTTGGCAAATATTCACACTTGTGTTAAAAGATTGTGGTATTACATATTTTTGGCGTTTTTTTTATATATTTACCAATCTTGCCAAATTCTATTTCTACCAAAAAAGATATACGACGAATACATGTGTTGATTCATTTTCGTACGCAGATCAATGTGAACTTCGTTTTGTTGCTATTCAATCAAGTATTTTATTAATTCAATTTCGTGTGATTTTTGTTTATTGGTAGTTTAGTCATTCTCGAAAAAAATAAGTGTATTCTTAACGACGGAATACACCATAATTAAGAGAAAAAATCAAAATATGAACACCAAATTTTGTACGAAATACACATGCATATGTATAACCCATAAAGAAAACTATAACAATTTATACAAACTTTTTGAATAATAGTATACAAATGAAACACATAACTTACACATGATGAAACAACATCATCTAGCAAGAGAAAAAGTTAAAACTTACTAAATGTCATATACACGTAGTTATATAGCAAATAATGAATATACAACTAAATATTACAATATAAATAAAAAAATAAACGATTTATTTTTATAAATGTATCCTTATAAATATAAACCAACAAAAAACCAACAACAACAATAATAAACAAAAACATTTCATTAAAACAATTATAAAGTTCTGTTCACATAAGATTGTCGAACGAGTCGGCATACATAGTGTAATTTTACATATCGCTCATATACTCAAAAAATGTCCGTTTTTAGTATCTATTATTTTATCATTCTTCATCTTTCGATCATATTTCCATTTTGATAACTGTGCAACTAAAGGAGTTAATTTTTTTTTTTGTTTTTTGGAGATTGTCATAAATCAACATAACAGTATGTTGAGTATATAAATTTAAACCAATCTTGATTTTACACTGCTATCTGGTGATACCTTTGCAAATAATTGTCTGCATAGTTATATTACTTTTTGTGTAATAATCCTTTTAGTTCGGGCAGTCAAATTTCAATCGATGAAACTAAACTTTTGAGATATGACACTCTTTGGATAAATGAGCGACATGTTTCTGTGATAATCATTTAGGAATGGTTCTTATTCCGCAAGTTTATTTGAGAGAGTAAGTAAGACAAGACTGGGTGAACTCTAGAAGAATAGGTAAAAGCATTTAGCAGAAAACATTTGAAACAATTATTTCAAAGTATCGTGTAAAAAATACACATTGAAACATTATTTTTATTATTCTATATATCCATATATTTTATGAATAAATAATTCAAATATTTTTTACGTTTTCTTTTGCAGACACCAAGAAATTTAGACGCGTTTTTTGATCTAATGACGCTACCTAACAGAATAACATTAACATTTGTTTCCTGCCTTAATCCATATTTTTTTTATGTGTAACGAAGTCATATTAATTGAGTTGTGATAACTTGTCAGATGTCAAATTATACACTAGACAAAAATATTGGACCTGTTTGGACTCTCGTTTACTAATTCGAATAAACTAAAATTAGTTGACAGTAATACGTTTTACTACATCTGCAAATGTAATTTTGTTTAATAACCAAAAGTATAATTTCTGATTTTTAATCTGAAGTGTTTCCATTCCTATTTAATTTTCATTTCACACTCATGTATAAATTTTACCTTCATTAATAAATTTGTTCATGTACATTATGATATAATTTTTATTTTTGTAGGGTTCTAATTACTTACAGCAATGTGTGTACAATTTTATGCATCACAAATGTTTAATCCCTTACGTGCAAGAATCTACAATTTGTACTAGAAAAACCTTCCCCGAAAAAAACTTGTTCAACTTTCAGTCAAATCTCTTGTGATACTTTTACAATACAAATTTTACCAATTTGTAAAAATAAGTAGTATGATTGCTTCTGATCTAATTTGCTGATATGTTGTTTTTGAAGGATTGTCATGGATTTATTATATTTTTACTAGTTTGTAATTCCCGTACTTTCTGGATAAAATGGAGAAAATTACAATTAACTCTTTTAATATCAGATTAGTGTTGGCTTGTTTGTTCGGGATACCATTGTATTTTGTTGTTGCAAAATGGTCAGGCTTAATCCCATTATTGTTGTTTTTATAAAAACAACGTTTGTTTATTAGTAGAGAACGATGGCAATATTTACCTAGGTTTCGGAAAGAGCCACCAATCCTCAACAGTTCCCTTGTTTTTTGTCTGGGATATTCTCCCAGAAGCTATTTTAAAAATAACTCCTATGACAAATAAACTTTTTTTATCCAAGTGACGAGATCGTAAGCTCAATTGAAGGAGAACCAAAGAATTAAATAAAACTAAAATTCTTTTGGAAAATCTTCTAAGTCTTACAACCACACTTATAAACATTTTCATCTTCTAATATCGTTGCCGTACACCCAATATATTGGTACAATGTCCGTTATTGAGTAAAATAAAAAAAATGACTCCAAAACATTTATTGCACAATATATCCATTATGTAACCGAAGATATATAGTTTGTTATTTAAGAAGGAATCGATACAAAGTAGTATATTGCTACCGACCACTTCCAATTCATTTAATTGTTTGGCTCCCAAACATACAAACAATACAATCATGGTAGAATCAAGAAGGCAAAGTAATGCAAAAATATGTTAACATTTTTTTAATTATTCGTTTGACAGCATCTTACAGTCAATATATATATTTATAAATCCATTGTAAATACACAAATCAGAGATGGAAACCTATGTTCTGTTCTGGAACTGCAAGAATGATAATGATTTTTACCACGATAACAGATTTTCCCTTTATGGTATCGACAAAAAAAAACAAAAATTAAAAAACTTGTAGATTCTTGCGGGTTCTGGAGCAGACCACTAGTTTTTATGGAGTGAAATTTTACAAGGTAAATTACAGAAAATGCAGAGTTGGCTGTGCTTATTTGAAATGATTTTACCTTCTTAATTTTACCATGCAATATTTATCACATGTAATATTAAACATTCGGCTCAATTATGGTTGTAGTTTCTATAGTCGTCGACGTTATGTGTAAGTCACCATCGCTTCGATTCTAAAAAGGTATTACGGTAAGGCTAGAGACGACATCGACAGTTTTAAACAAAAGTTGGCAACATTCCCTTGTTGTTGACAAAAAAAGATAAAAAAAATTTTGAATCTCAATTTCTTTTTTCTTTCGGAAAAAAATAAAAATATAGTGAAAATGAATATAATAAATGATTTACATCTCTTAAGTTCTCTTAAGAGGAAAGTGCTAAGGCAGCAAACAAACATATTTGTATTGCTTGACTCCAAATAAGTACATATTTTAATTAATTTAATAAAAATATGGGCTTAACTCTAGTAAAAACTCATCATTTTTTTGAAAAATTTTGTAGTGCTAGGTATTTTTACCCTGATTCCAGGAAATTATTTTTTGGGGGACGGACCTGGGACGAATATCCGGTTTCAAGTCCCGGGCTAGACCCTGTTTCACTTACCCAATATATTTTCAATATAGGTATTGCTTAAGAAAATACCTATCCAATGAGTAGTCCCTTAATGAGGTTATTAAAAGCGTTTCAGAAGTTATAGTCAAATTATCTATTTTTAGACCCAATTTTTTATAAAAGGTCAAATTAAAACTGACACACTTATCTTTCCAAAATGCTACAATTAGTGCTAATACCTTTTCTGGGCCCAGAGATATTCTCTTCTGGGTATGTTCAACCGGCTACGCGAACTAGAGTTTTCTTAATTTAACAGTTGTTGTAAGTAATCGGCCTTCGACCCCATCTTGTGACCATTTGTTGGATAGGTATTTTAAACGATATCTATATTGCTAACATCGGGTAAGTGGATCCGGGTGTTGAATCCGACATTCGAGTCAAAAATCTGGGGAATTATAGTACTAGTTTCCAGGAAACAGGATAAAAATACCTACCTCTGGAAAAAATATTTCGAAAAATCGAAGAGTTTTTTACTAAACTAGAGTTGTATCGAGTTTTGCCTTGTTAAGGCGAAGATCATATGTTTTATGATTTATTGTTTGTTTTCTCTTTCGAGACGAGCTTAATGATCTGAAATTTGCAGTGAAAAGGAAAGCCAGATAGACACTATCACACACTCACCACTATGCGACGCGTTTCGCCGTTGGTTAAGCGGCTCATCAGGCATATTTGGTGTGGATGATGGCTTACAAGGGCCGTTCTCTGGAAAGTAGTATATATTTCGAACTTTCAATTGGCCACAGCATTGAGGTTTTTAGCGCTAGGATCTTAGTAGCAGTGTCGTAAATGACTTCAATATTTCCAAATTGTTATCGTTAATTTCATGGTCAAATGTCAAATACAAAATGGTTAAAATGTCAACGTCGACTAAAAAACACAATGTCGTCACAATTTTTTACGGCGACTGATATTATCTAAAAACGACTTCATGTCGACTGCTGTATCGACAATGATAATCGGCCCAATTACGGTTGCCGTTTCTATAGTCGACGTTATGTGCAAGTCGCCCTCGCCGTCGCTTCGATTCAAAAATGGTATTACGGCAAGGCATAGAAGCGACATCGACATTT